TCATTCATAAAACATATATAATTATTTTTTCATTTTTTGAATGACATATCAAAATGACTCACACTTTTAAACATTTACCCATTTTGTGTGTATTTTTTTTTAAAGTTTAAGGTGAATAATATCATATTAAATGCAACAGTACAGCAGGCCCTGTGCCTTGAACTGAAAACACACATTGCATCATTACCCAACATGCTACCTACCATCCTGGTTAATGTAATTAAATTTTGGTTATATTGTATACTGCATATAAGTGAAGCTACACTGAATATATTTCTGGTCGTCTTTGAACTGCGATGCTGGCCTTTGCACTGCTATCACAGCCATTCTCCATGCGACGTGGAGTCCTGCTGAGAGTCAGCTCTTATTTGCAGCCAAATGTTCCAGTATAAATACAGTACAAGCACTGAATTCAAGTTGGGATGATTAGTACTACAGAACACTGGGACTGTTATGTTCCACAGTATCACTGGGTCTCTTCCCCTCTCTTGCAGAAGGCACAGAATTTCCATTCGATTCTGACTGATTTTTTGAGATTTCAAACAATTTGAATAATTACCCTAAATCAGAATTTGTATGTTCTTCTTTTCAGAAGGTGGACAGTTGGATCAGTTATTCATTATTTGGTAACTAAGTAACCCTTTTCAACTTGCAGCCTGTCATATCGTTGTAAGTATGTTCACATTAGGACACAGATAACACATGTTGTACATGGAAGGATTAAAAGGGAAAAAACCTCAGCAAAATGTTAAATCAAAATGTCATGTCAAAGGCAAGGAGGTGAAGGCAGGCGTGGGGAAAACCAAAATAAATGAAACTATAGACAGGGCAAAAGGAAACGGACCATGAGGGTTCAAAATGGGTAAGGGGGGGGAATCAGGCAAGAGCACAGGGGAAACTGGAGAGCGCGCGCGCGCGCACGCACGCACGCACGCACGCACGCAGTAACAGGAATGACTGTACTGGGGAGCTCGAGACAGGGAGGCACTATATACATTACTGTTGAGGGAGCAGACGAGAGGCACCTGGGGTGATCCACACGAGGGCTGTAACGAGAGGCAAGATTAAACAAGTAACAGGTGTGGCTCAGAGCCATATAACAGAGAGAATGAGGGGGAAGCGACGCAGGGTGTGACAAATCCTTTTGATGTTTCAACCAGGCTAGTGAATGAACCTTGTGCATCAATGGCCCATGAAAAGAAATGTTTCATAAAATACAGTTATCCTTTCAACCAGCACATCATAGTTGAAGATTGCAATTTACCTACATTTTTCAAAAAAAGAATCTGCAAATATGACACCAAAGGATCCTGTTATCAGAGTCATTGTACTGATATAATTGACCATCCTGGGTAAAATTTGATCCCCTCTGGAAAGTTTTACTTCCTGTTCAATAACAAAGTAAATTGTTTTTATATGTAAAATATATTAACTATGAATTATAGCTAAATGTATTAACTTTGCTTACTTTGGTTAGGTTATGATTACATATATATGTTTTAAGATTCAAACATACAAAACTGGGTCATCCAACCTTTTTGAAACATCATTTGAGATGTTCTTTGGAGTCAAGATGTTCTTCACAGTTAAAATCCATGAACCTGTTTTCCAGCTGTTAATCTAGCTTACATGCACGGAGGGGTTACAGAGTGTAACCCAGCAAGAAAGCCACACCAGGCAGAGGGACACCTTGGATGGGAGGGTACACACAAAGCTAGTCTCACTCTAGGTTAATTTTGAGATACCAGAACATGTCATTGGAATGTGTAAATCAGAGTAACCCCTCACTACGCTGGAACACACACAGCAGAGCTGTGTGTAGAGCTATGAACCCACAGTGTCACAGTGACAGCCTATAGTCAAAATATTATTATTCTGTCGCGAAAGAGATTCATAAAGGTACAAATGAGATTCACATTATGAGCATTATGCAATGCTAGGGGATGACACTGAGGGTTTATTATAAGGTCACTAATATTAATTAATGATTCAAATATGTTTCCAGCATTATGGTAATGGTTTGCGAGGAGTATGGCTCGGAATAGCAGAGAAAGGAAAAGGGTGACAGGAAATGTCAGAGAGAGGCTGTAGGGAAAACAGAGTGATTAAAATATTCCCTGTGGATGCATCATGCAGTCAGAACGAATGACAAGTGTCCAGGAAAATTAGGCTTATTTTTACCACTGTCAGTCATTCTGTATACTATATGTTCTCACTGTGTTACTGTAAGGATATTAAACACTAAATTATGAAACACATCTTAGTGTTATTTAAAAACAAAAATATGGTTTTGCTACTGGATGTTTACAGTTCTAGTTCATTATTGAAGTAATTATCCAAATCTGTGGTTTTTGAATGAGAAGCACAATTATTGATCATATGTTGTGAAGGTTTCCAACTGTCAGCTATAAAATACTGAGAAATACCAGACTGAGAAAAGAGACCTTGAAACTAAACCCACCCCCCCACACCCGCCCCACCACGTCAGTAATTCTAACCAGTATAAACATTTCAAAGATGGATGCTCGGGTGGATGGATATTTAATGACTGACAAAGCTTGAATATGAAACAAAAACAAATTAAACATCATATTTACAGTATAGAACCTACCTTTGAAATGAAATGTTGTATTTCAAAACTATTCTTTTACAAAAAACTTTCATTTCTTAATTATTTATGCTCTTTAAAAATTTTATATTTTACATCAGAGAGTGTGTATACAGAGAGAGCATGTTTGAGTGGAGGGACTTCACACGGTAGATGTAAGGCAGGTGGAAACCTCACTGAATTCCTGCTCTCCAAATAAGGTACTGGTGTAATAGCCAGCAAAAACCTTTCCAATCCAGCAGAGTGATAACAGTCACTTTTCACCACCTCCTATCTCTCATATCCACTTATTGTATGACATTATTAAGACCTGGAGTGTGGCCTGAGCACTGAGAGTGAAATCTGTAGTGCGCTTTATCAGCTGGGCCAGTGACCCAGGACATCTTCAGCTTTGGTTTGTCCTCTGAGTTGCTGAATATATCCAACATACAGCTAAGGTCTGAGCCTGCAGCTTCACACCCGTAAAGAATTACAGATTATACCTAAATACTTCACTGGTTGACAGAGTAGTAAGACCAGTCCAGATAATGACACTAGATGAGGTTGAGACAAAGGGCAGCCCCAGACATACTGCTCTTCTGATGGGCAATTAGCCTTTAACATGATTATAGCCCTATTTCTGTGACTTTCATATATAAAGGTTAAATATTACATAAACCAGGTCCTTAGCTGTACATTGCAAGGCAGTTACCACCTGCCAACCAGCCAAGTGACCAAATATGTTCAGTTTGATTAACACGACACAGAGTAGCTGCAGGTGGCACTGTGACGTCGTCAAGGACCTTCAGCTGTGGCCAGATGGTTGGACCAGATGAGGGTAACTGTTGCTACTCAGAGGGACTTCTTCAGTAAACATCCATGGTATACTTCTGAAGATATGAGATTTACATATATCTCATCAAATTTCACAGAGGATGGAACGACGGAGCTGAAACGTCAGATACCACCAAAACACTTCTAAAAACAAACAAAATTAAATAAATAAAATAAATGCCTTTATTGTACCACTGTGTCATATTAAATAAAGGAAATTGCTCAAATGATTTATAAAACTCCCAAGAATGATTAAGCCCCTAGCAGTGAAGCACAGATGACATAGCAAGCTAGTAAGATCACACTTAATTGAATCCTAATTAGCTGTTCCAATTACAAAATTAAGGAAAAGGCTAGGAGGGAAATTACTGAGGAGCAATTAAAGTGGTATCTTTATTTACACATTACAGAGCATCTCTAATATTGACAAACACTTCAGGTGATCCCCTTGGAAGCAAATAATGTTGGCTTGAATTATAGCACATACAATAATCCAAAGATGTGTTTGCTTTAGGGAATAACCCAGGATGTCAGTGCCAACAGGACACAAACTAAACTTACTTTTTATCCACAATTAACAATATAGCTAGTTAGCCAGCTATCTACCTATCAATGTTATGCTAAAATTACCGATGTAAAGTAATCCATACAAACAACCATCATCTAAATCAGGGGTGGCTAATCTTATCCACGAAGGGCCAGTGTGTATGTGGGTTTTCGCTGCAACTCCCTAATAAGACTAGAGGACTGATTGGCTGAAGAGTCCTCACACCTGGGTTTGAACAGCCGACCTACAGGTTATCCCAAAAACCAGTATATACACCGGCCCTTTGCGGATAAGATTGCCCACCCCTGATCTAAATGTTGAGTTGTACAAATATTTCTTAGTTGAATATAAGACTTCATAAACCATCTTTTTATTGCTCCATTTGAGTATGGGCAGTGGTGGCTTGATGGTTAGGGATGCACATTTGTAATTGAAAGGTTGCAGGTTCAAATCCCCGACAAGCAAGGCCCCACTGTGGTGCCCTGAGCAAGCACTGATGTAGCACTGCTCCCTGGGTGCTGTATTGACTGCCCCCTGCTATGTCACGCTGTCACATATGGGTTAAATGCAGAGAACACATGTTGTTGTGTGTCAACAATAACAACTAATCACTAAATCAAAAATGTAGATGTTAAATTCTATTGGTAGACAAGAGAATGAGCATATCCCATCTATAGTACAAAGTCATAGAAATACGTGGTTTTCATCAGACAGAAATGATGTGCAGCTTCACCTATGAGACGAGGTGGATGTGTCTGGATATCTCAGTAGGCCTTCAGCTCAACAGCATATGGTGTGACAAATTCCACTGTACATCAGAGGCAAGAAGTGTTTGCAGTGTGGAGATTAACATCACTAAAGTCATGCTGCCTTTTTGATGTGCCCTTATTCTGGTTAGAAGAAAATATCGGATGTTACTGAAAATATTAGATGTTACTCTTCTCCTTAAATTATTGTTAGTGGTTAAATATATAACTTTTACATTTCAAATGTGGTACAGATGTAGCTGAAGTTATAACTTCCTGTCTGCAGCTGAGGATGGACGGGACCAGTACACTGAGGAGTCCGAGACGGGAGCTTATGGGTCCAGGACCGACCATTCGCTTCTGATCCAGCAACCTGCCAGCAGACCCCGGCTGGAGAGGCGCACTGAGTCACTCCAGGTAGCGACTAACCTCCACCCAATTTTTATTTTTTGCTTTGAAAATGCATATTTAAATACCATAAATAGAGTAATCCTATTATGAGCTGAAAATTAAGACTTCAAAGTTGGAAGGATTAGTACATGCACATGCAATTAATCACTGCTTGTTTTGACCTAATAGCAGCGGCAGATGATCCTGGCAAGGGTAATATGGGCAATTACCCAGGCTGGCATCTTCTGAGGGGGCATCACCTTAGCAATGCCCCCCTCCTCCTCCTCCCCAGTCAATAAGTTTTACTGACAGCTTGGGGGGTTAAGCTTGCCTAGGGCATCTCATAGGCTTCGACTGCTACTACCTAATAAAAACAGTGTACAGTATTAGTGTTAGAACATAGTGCATCAACTGATGATTGACATAACATGATAAGCTTGGAAACCATTGGTTTTGAAGCATCTCTCAGTTTTATCTATGACTCACACACAATGTAACCCTCTTTGCATTATAAAGAACACATTACGATGTGGTGCAGTTACAATAAAATAGCTGTATTCCACCTTCGGTATATTGTTGGAAGAAGATCAGAATGAAACTAGTGGTTGTTCTACAGGAGCGCAACAAAGCAGCCCATTCTGGACTAACGTTCAGAGATGGGAAGAAGAGAATTGATTACATCTTGGTTTACAAGAAGTCCAGCCCACAGGTGGAGAAGCGATGCACGTTTGAGAGAAACCTGAGAGCTGAGGGGCTGATGCTGGAGAAGGAGGTATGGGGCCAGTGTATCATGGGTAATGTAGTCTGTGTTCGCGGTTTTAATAGGTACAGCATGTCTATAAGTAAAAAAATAGGGGAAAAACAGAGGCTGGTTATTTTTTTTCTTTATATGTGAGTATGACTTTTATAGAAGACCAAAAGAACAGCAAAAGTTAATATCCGATTTTTTTAATTGCTTACTTTTGATCTAAAAATATCTATGCAAATCGAAGCTCCTTTTTCTTATAGCAACAAGAAGAACCAAATTAGTACAGTAGTTTATTAGTGTAGAGTACCTCGGTGCGCTGTGAAGCACAATGCCGCTACCTGCTGAGTGAGAAACAACCTCAGCTAACACACTGGTTCTGTGTCTTTTGAAGCCGTCTTTGACCAACAACGACATCATGTTTGTGAAGATCCACGCTCCCTGGGACACGCTGTGCAAATACGCCGAGCAGATGAACATACGGATGCCCTTCAGGTGACTCCCAGGCTTGCCGGGCCCCCGCAGGATCGGGGGCAGTGTGGCTGTTAATGTGCATAGCGGGCAGTATGTCACACATCTGCATTTCTGAAAGAAGTCTGTAGAAAATAACTGCAGTTCTGACCTGCTGACAATATACACTCAAAGTGATTCATTTATAACGTTTATTACATTTTGGGTCTGTTATAGGTTTTCATTTTCAGTTTGATTTTGAGAAGATCCCTATTCTGTATTCAGTATATATTTTGTTGTTTGCTGCATAATCGCAGATAATTATATATATATATTGTCTGAATCAATATCAATAACCATTATATTCAGTCTTTGTAGAAAGAAAATTGTCACACACTTCACGAAAAATTTGTCAATATCGTGTTGTTAATTAGTCAATGGACGTCAACATAGTACTGGCTGTTTTTGCTACAGATTCATATATTCGGTGCATGATTTTTACTTTTACTTTTATTTTGAATTTTCAGGAAAAAATGTTACTTCACTGATTGGAAGAGCAGGACTATGGGCAGGTATGGTATGTGTGGGGTGAACCATCTGTCTGCCTTTCAGAAGATATGTCAGTTTCAGTATTATTGTATGCTACACTATTCAATACTATTGTACATTGTTCTTATTTCTTAGCATTGTGTCTAATTCTGGCCACTATCCATATTTGACTGAGTCCCTAATCAGATGCAATAAGGCAAGAGACCAGAATATGTATTATCAGAATTGACCAGATTTCATTTATTGTGCTATGGAAAGATGCAGAAACATTTGTAAATCCTGCAAACAAAGCAGGGGGAGAGTGTTTGCATGAAAGGCCAATATTATGGCCCTAAGAGGACTGTATGGACAATGCCTGCTGGGGACCCAGAGGTAAGGTAGGAACCGTGGGCATGTTGTTGTGTCTCCCCTAGGTTTCATCTCCGGTTGCGTCAGGTGAAGAGCTGGCTTCCCAAGAATCCCATGAAGCTGGACAAACAGGCGCTTCCTGATCTGGAGGAGACTGACTGTTACACAGCCCCCTTCAGCAGGGCCAGAATGCACCAGTGAGGCCAGCAATGATTTTTTTTTTACCCTCATAGTTCAGCCCCACAAATCATTTCAAAACGTGCTGAAGCAATTGTGGAGCCAAAGCTATTTAACTGCTGATCCATATCTCTAAAATTAATGTCCTAACCTTTAAAGCAGCCGCCCCATACTAGATGATATTTCTGCTAAAAACCAACATCTCTGTCGTGTAATGATGAGTGTAATTATGATAAGAGATGAAACACATGGTCTGGTGGCTCATGGGTAAGAGGGACTGCCTTGTTCTCATTGGCTGACCTGGAATGACACAGATTGGATGTCCAGGGAAGCATCCTTCCCCTCCCATTCAATCCCACAGATTATGAGAGGTTTAGTCTGTGGTGGAATGGAATGGAAATACCAAGTCATTCTCTGGCCTAGGGCCTGGAGGTTATAATGCAGGAGATGTACACAACAGCAGCTGTGGTTTACAAACCCCTCATCCCTTAACTCCTACTTAAGACAGATTTTAATCCATTTACTCAATCTTCTCTTACCTCCTTCCTCTCATATTTTGCTTTTAAAATATCTCACACCGAAGGTATTCAGACGTTATTGCTTAAGTCCATGCTTAATCACACTATGACGTTTCTACCCAGCCCACGGATGCGTTAATTTCTTCAGAACCTTCCAGCTATTGCAATCTGTGTAATATTGTATTGCAAATCTAGTATAGTGTACTGAGATCTTTCTCTGGAATGTAAGCATTCTCTTGGAAAAGTTAGATTCACTGTGGTTTTCATTTTATTTATACAAGAGCTGTAATGATATTTTGGCAAATTTTTATTGCATTAAAACAATTTGAAGTTCTGATCTAGGCACATGCTAATGGGCTTGAGATACATTTATGACTCTTGCACTTTTTTGATTGGCTGGCTTTAATTATATTTAAAATATTCTTTCCTAATTAACTGATTTGCAGATTTGGTAGTCAGGCATCTACATTGCAATTCTGCCAAGTGTTGCTGTTCAGTTCATCCCCAAGGATTGAAAAACCTTAGCGATCGTGGTCTAGTAATAATACCCCCTTTTTTTCAGTTTTACAATCATCAATAGAGAGACGTTCTTCTCCAACTCCACAAGGAGCAGGATAGTTCACCACGTCCTCCAGCGAACCAAATACGAGGATACAAAATCCAAGATGGGTAAGGACAAGGGTAAACAACTAGTATCCACACCTGCTATATTCTACTATAAATGCATTGCTAGTTTGTTGCTGAAGCAGAATACCTGTACACTGGTGGTGTAGCACACTCCCCTACTGAGTGAGGAGCCCTCTACCCTCTGGCTACTGCCCTTCTGTGTTGCTAGTAGTTACTCTTTGTCTGATGCTAGGATGCTAGAATGTTTTTAAGTGAAATACTGCTGAAGGGTTGTCTTTCAAATGACGGAAGGTTATCTCCATGACATCTGGTCCCCATGGTAACTGGGCCTCATTGTAATCAACCTTCATGGTAGCCGAACCCTACAGTACTTCCGTTAAATAAGCTCTATAACACTTAAACACTACAGCAGTTGACTTTGAGCATTTCACAAGCAATTATTTGGCTCTATGTTGTCATTATTTTAAATCAGCCAAAAATACTCAAGTCTGAATATACAAAATAGAATTTGAATTTATGGACAAAAATGTTAAATGTGTATTTGTAATTGTTAATATACTGGGTGTTATAGTAGGATATTTTTTTTCCAGTTAAATAATTTTTGCAGTAAGTAAAATGGACATGGGAATGCCCTCTAGGTGAGAACCTTAAGGTGCAATTGCCTAGGTCATAGGTGATCTTCTGTGGACATCCATCAGTCTTCTCTCAAGCTTAATCAACTTGACTGAAACTTGACATACTTGTATGGCAGAAGGTGTTTCCTTGGGAATATGAAAGATTGCGATTTTGATTTGTGTGTCTGGCAAAGAGCTGTATTAATGACTCATCCGTCTTCTTAGGCATCAATCGGTTGCTTGGCAATGGGACTTATGAAGCTGCTTTTCCTCCCCATGAGGTAAGAAAACTGACTTTCGGAGGCCTGGAGTGAAGGTTATGATTCTCGGCTCAGCACTGTGTTTTCTTCTGAGAACCAGAAATACTGCTGATTGTTTCATATTCCATGTTTCTAAAAATAAAGCCCAGAAATTTGTTTGAGGGACCCATAAAACATAGATAACAGTGAAGATTATAATGGCTTTCATCAGTGTTCAAGTTAAAGGGAGGATCTTCTGGATGGGACCTGAGATAAGCAGTCCAATTTATTTTAAGTAGTTTTGGATGTTACCTACAGAGTAGGAACAGAACCCCATTCATTAACACATTTGAAATGTGCATTTCTAATGTACAAGTGAAGTAGATATTCACAGTCGAACATAACATTACTACATCCATATTACATCATAAATTAATCTTAGTTTGATCCTAGTATGTTATGGAAACTGAAAGGAATTCTATCACTATTGACTATGTTATATATATATATATCCCTCAATAGCAGGACCCACCTAATTCTAGAAATGTTGCTATTTATGTAAAATGTTTGTTGTGGCCCTAAAAAATTTGGAATATAACTGGATTGTTTTGGACTGGGAGGCCCAATATGATATGCTTTCATGGGGCCCAAAATCTCTAGCAACGCCCCTACCTATGCTATGTAATATATTCCAGTTTTGAGAGTTAGTCCATTTAGCTGTGATTATCATAGGTAATGATAAACCTCATTAATTCACTACAAAGAGCATGTTTCATAATCAGTTAATTGTAATTGTAATCAATTTATTCATAGTAAGCATATGAGCAGCTTTTAGGGATTTATCTGACTTTTGAATGCACACAGAGAAAGTACACAGCTGCAAATGTGCTTGCATTCATAATGAATAATGATTCTAATGACTATTACATAAAACTCCAATATAATCATCCAATCTCTTCATACACAAACTCTTACTTTGGTTATTAGCTTGTTCAGCAATAGCACACATAAAAAAACAATGTAGCTGAGCAATTCGGCTGTTGACAATTAAAATTATGAGCCACTGTCCGCTAGATGATGGCATAGTGTTGTGATATTCGCATATAATGAAGTAAAATGGGTATTTCAATATAACAATGATAATGATCTTTAAGCATGTGGAATAAACAAAACTGCACACATCTGCCTTATTGGAATGCAAGCTACATGTGTATCATTAATATTATGGTTCAATTCAGCTTCTGGAATACACATTATTCAAAGCTAAATTGTATCCTTCGTTATACTCATTTGTGTTCTTTGCATTTTTTCCAAAAAGCAGAATGAAGGAAATTATGTTAAAAACACAGTATCTCATGGTAATTTTCTTCATTCTATATTAAATATTACATCATAATCTGTGTTCTTCTGCTGCCTTTTGCCATATTAAAGCAGAAAGGCTTGTGAGGGAGTGCTAGTCACAGCTATAAGAGGTTGTTAAACATGATACAAAGTATACTGTTATAACACAGTTGCCTCATGTTTAAAGCAACATTAAGGGTTTTTTTGATGTTATAAAAATTATAAAAGTTTGCTATTCTTCATCTTCATCTTCTTTTTCTTCTATTATTATTATTATTATTATTATTATTTCGTAATTTTCAACATGTTTTTGGGTTGCAGTAATACACAGACACAGGAAAATGGCATCAAAGTGTGATGTTGTGGGGCGTTAGGGTGTGACTCTGTAGGTTAAGGCTGCGCTTCTGATCAGATGGTTGCCAGTTCAAACCCCAGAGTCAGCAGAGTGATTTCACTGTTACGTCCTTGAGCAAGACCCTGAACCCCTAATTTCTCCAGGGACCGTCTGACCCTCCTTTCTTAACTGCATGTTCATGAAAGCTTCTGCTAAATAAATACATGCAAATATATCTCTGTGGCCAGGGTGGTTACAGAAGCAGACACCCAATCAAGACGCATGGAGCCCAAAACCACAGGCACCTGCTGTATGAGAGATGGGCCCGGTGGGGAATGTGGTACAAATACCAGCCGCTTGACCTGATCAGGTATGTCGTACGCTGGCTGTCGTAAGCACATGGTACATAGTCAGAAACCTGGCCAGTGATGTGCTCCCACAGGCTTCCTAAAGAGGGGGAAGTTAGGCCAATTCCAAGGGCCCTCAAGTGACAAGGGTCCTAAAAATTTTAGGCACCTGGGCCATAGTTAATACATATAGCAACTTATGGAATATATAAGGACATATATAGAAACTGTGCTTCCCATATACAAATATTATAGTGGTTTAGGAAACTAGAGCATTTAATAGTTAAATCTATTTCATGATCCATGTGGCACAGCCTCATAACGAGTCCAGGTTAAATCGAGGGAAGGAATTTACTTATTGACCTTAAAACCAATTCTATGTCAATTCTGTGGTAATGTTTAAGAAACGTTGCACGTGTCCCTATCATCCTTCTTCCTTGGCAGGCGATATTTTGGAGAGAAGATTGGCCTCTATTTTGCCTGGCTAGGTTGGTACACTGGCATGCTGATCCCGGCTGCTCTAGTTGGCCTCTTTGTCTTTCTCTACGGTCTCTTTACCATGGACTCCAGCCAAGTTAGGTGAGGTCAGAATCTCGCCATGTGGTGCCACCTCTGTCACTCTGCCTGAGCAACACGTACCGACACCTCTGCTCTCCTGTTGCATATATTTGCATATGTTTTCATTTTTCACGTTGAAAATGAATGAAGAGATATTTTTCCGAGGTTTCACAGTGATCTTTAGGGGAAGCCAGCTATTGCTTACACAGCTGCAGCGTGTCGTTTTAGAATATTGTTTCTTAAGCCTTGCATGGTTCTGTACGTCATGCAGCTGTGATGTCTGGTGCCGTCATGTTCCTGTAGCTCAACAAATGCAGTGTTTTGCTAACAACACAAAGGTCATGGGTTCAAATCCCAGGGAGCACACATAAATTGTAACCATTCTCTCTACTGGGAGTCGCTTGGGATTAAAGCATTAGACAAATGTAACAGATGTTACTCAGAAGGACTTTGAGAGGGAATCCCTTTTGTGTGTCCTTGTGTCCTTCCTTAGCAGGGAGATCTGCGAGGCCAATACTACCATTATGTGTCCTATGTGTGAGAGGAACTGCAGTCCCTGGAGGCTGAGTGACAGCTGTATCTATGCCAAGGTGAGCCCCGCCTCTGGGCTTTCCCATGAGTCCCGTGTCACCATGTTGCTCCGATCATAACGCCTCACACAATGAAACACCAAAAGGCATAAGCCACATATCAAAAATGTCCACTCTTACAAATAAAGGTTCTTTAACTAAAAAGCTTCACACAAAATTGAATCATAAATGAAAAAATTAAATTTTTATTAGTGCTGAATTCATCATATTTGGTCTTTGTATTGACTTTTTTAATTTAAAATTACAGTACATATTTCACTTGACCACATGCCATGTACTTTGTGCAGTATGTTAAGATTAAGATGTCTATGTTCTAAGGTTAAAAGGCATTCTTGGCTCGGTTACGCCATATAGAAGAGCTAGCTAGCATTTATGTTTGCTGTTCCTGCAGTAGGACAGTGTTTCCTTATCTGAACATTGTTTCATATAAAGGGCATTGTGTCAGACCCATTCCTATGTAAGGATCATTGTATCCGAACCATCCTAGGCTATCTGGATAAGCCCCAACTAGTATCGGTCTGAAAGGGGCTGATCCCTTTATCCTGATATAATTTGGCTACCTGTCCTGCAGTCGATATGTAGCTGCAGATTTTGGGTTTCGTCAATGCTGGATGTAAAATCGCCTCTCCCATGCCTCCCTAGGTCACTCATCTCTTTGACAACGGCGGCACAGTGTTTTTCGCCATCTTCATGGCCATATGGGGTAAGCACGGGAGTCTTCTATGACTTAAGCTCCACTTTCCTTTTCTATTGCCATGGAAACTGAATGGGAGACCATTCGCATCGCTTTGTCCTTAGTAAAAACACCATTTGGCACCTTATAACATTTTGCATTAATCATCCACTCTGTACATTATGACAGATCTTACATCCACTCCTGTGACTGCTGGATTTTAGAAGGGTGTTGTGTTCCCAGCGTGAATAATTTAGTGATTAAATAATAAATACTTAATTTCTTTAAGAGCCTATGACCAGTTCTTCGTATTCCAGACCTTGTAACCTTAATGAACTGAACCGTGTCAGACAAGCGGGTGAAGCATTCGTCACACAGAGATTGGCCTCACTTTGCTTTCCATGTGAGAGTGAGCACCAGAGGGTTTTCTCCAAGCGTCCTTTCATCCATCCTAAAAACCAACTCTAATGTGCAACCACACCTATTGTGTTAGAAAGCTGTTAGAAAACTAGAATGGAACAGGTTTCTAATTTTAAACTCATCTGTAGTATGTTGCAGTACATTTCATTTGTATATTATTTCCAGTACTGGATTAATGTGGCACGTTTTCAGGGCCTGACAGAAATTTTATGCATTAAAAAGGTAGCAATTGCCATTTCTAGGTAGAAAGTATTGGGAGATTTTCTTTAAATAATACACATAATTTGCCCAGTTACATGCACTGGGGAGAGTTCCTGGGTCTTCATGAGAGACTCATTTGTGAACTGTGAGGATCCGGAGGATTCCCTGGGGAGATTTAGGATAGAGGCCTTCCTTGTTACTAAACTTAACATGAAAGGAATAGCAAAGCTATTTGTAATCTCTTTGCGATAATATATTACAGTACATAAAACACAGCGCCATTATCTTTCGGTGTTGATTTTTTGGTGTAAAAACCCTGGATGGTTCAGCCCTGTGACTCGTCTTACAGTCCTAGTGCTGGTTCTGTGTGCCACTCATGTGGTCCATATAGATGTTGTCACCTTGGAGCACGGGGTTGTCGAAGGACAAGGTGCCCATTCCCAGGTTCTCATAGCTGTCCAGACGGAGCACTGGGAGTAACAGAAAAGGAGAAGAAGGGTTTAGAGCAGGGGTCTTCAGCTCCAGACCTGGAGAGCTACTGTCCAGAAGGTTTTGCATCCTACATGGCTTCTGAGGGGCCACACCTGTTCTCAGGTAAATACCAGGAGCAGGTGTGGCTCATCAGAAGCCAGGTAGGATAGAAAACCTGCTGGACAGTAGCTCCCCAGGACTGGAGTTGAAGACCCCTTGTTTAGAGTCAAGGCACCATCACACTGGCAAGCTTTAGTATGAGGTCCGTTGATGCTATTAAGACCTTAATTTTATTACATATCTGTCAAGTAAGAACAGTAAGGAGCTTCAGTCTGATTCTCTAAAATGACAGATAAAGTGATAACTTTCAGTCACTAAGGCTACATTCACATTGCAGGACAAATGTGGGCCAAACACGATTGTTTTGCTCATATGTGACTCAGATCGCATTTTTTCATGACAATGTGAACAGCACTAGTCACATGGAATCCAGTTTTTTCAATTCCGATTTGGGCCACTTCAGTATGTGGTCATAAATCGGATACAGGTCTGATTTTTTGCAATGCGACTTAAGTCTGAATTCATGAGACTTTTACGTCACAGTTCTGCGCAGGCGGAAGTCACCATATGTCTCCGTCAGAGTGCCAAACATGGAGAAGAGCACAGAAGTTGGCCAGTGGAGGGACAGTGAGGTGCTGGATTTAATAGGTTTTTGGGGAGATAAATCTATTCAGGCAAAACTGGAAAGTTCATATCGTAACCGGGCAGTTTTCAAATCAATAAAGTGACGTCTTTGTTTTTGCGCAAGCGTCATTGCGTCTTTGTTGTTTTGTGCGCACACGGGCCAGTTCAGTATAGTGAACCGTTCACATTGAAATCTGATATTGCCCACACTAAAAAGAGTAATGTGAACAGGCAAACAAAAAATCTGATCTGAGCAGGAAATCAGCATTAAGCCCTGCAGTGTGAACGTAGCCTAATACTCTAGTTCTGATTATTTGGACTATTGGTATTGTTCTCAGGTAGTCTGACTGCTAACAAAAAACAACTTTGCTATGTACATATGAAACATTTAGTACCCAGCATACTTTTAACATACATTTAGCTTCTAAATTCATGCTTCTAACAAAGAGAGATTTCAGAGATCTGATAGCTAGACTGTAAATAACCAGTTTTGTAAGGACATTGGTCAGCTGTAAAAACACATCCCGGTACAATACTGTCAGACAGCTGTTGTGCAAAATACTGTTCCAATCAATTAGTTGATTGATTTTGGAAATGCAACAGCGTGACTGATGGTTGAAAAGAGGAAAAAAACAGCACAGCAGGTTCTCTGTCAGTGCCACTCAGAGTACAACAAATACTCGAGCATCGTGATGAGGATCAGCCCAAAGGACTTGCAAGGAGCTGCCTTTTTCACTGCCCTTTTCACTGCCTCTTTCACTGCCTTTTTCACTGCCTTTTTCACTGCCTCTTTCACTGCCTTTTTCACTGCCTTTACTCTAAGGAAGATGAGTCATGCCTCCCCTCCCCACTTTGCACATCAGACACATGCTGACTGGCCCAAATGAGAAAGCTTTCAAAGTTTACTTTTGTCTGTTAAAAAATATACGATCTTATCGTTGTCTAGGCACTAACCCCACCATGACCACACAATCACACACACACACACACACACAGTATTTTTTATCAGTTCTCATACAGTATACAATAGGTGTTCTTGAGCATTGTGTTTTTGGTATTACTTTTATGTATTTATATGGCCTCAAGACACTTTTTCTGAAGTTCTTAAAAGTTTTTAACAGGGTAGTTGAAGCTATATCTTTGAATAGCTGTATAATAGCTGTTAATCAAAGCCATAAACGGAGCCACTCCTGACAGCTCCGCCCTGACCATGCTGAAATGCCTGAGATACCAGTCATTTCTGTAGGAAATATAATCATGATTTCTTCTTATAACTATTTGTGACAAATAGTCTTGTCACTCCTACCTGGTCCTCGGGGTAGGTCTTCCACAAGCTTCCTGTGGTTGAAGTCCCGGTGGACCCTCCGTCTCTTCAGGATATAGACGATCAGGCTCACAACACCCACAGCCAAAGCTATACCGATGACTATGGCCCACGCCGTAGAGTTACTGTTCCTTGTGTTGCTCCCTGCCGAATCTAAAACACACAAAACCGCAATAAACAGCATGTCAGCCGCCCACACACTCATGATGGGGAGTTCCTCTCTTCAGACACCTCCTCTCTTCAGACACCTCCAAGGCTGCCGCCCTATGTGTCCTCTCTTTTATTCGTTCCGTAAATATCACAGATATCAGTCTGTATTGACTAATAATAAAAAATAAATAAATGAGACTGCCTTCCCATCCAAGGTATACTCTAGCCTTAAGCCCAATCCTGCCTGTGATGTTCTCCAGGATCTCCCTTCCTTACAGACCCTGACCAGTATCAGCTGGCAGAAACTGAATGGATAGTAATTCTCCTCTCCATATGGCTCAATCCTGGGCTACAATTCGGAAAATGATATCATAATGCACACTCAGCTATTTTCATTATACAGACGCTCCTCTACTTATGATTTCCCAACTTACAAACCTTCAGACATACGAACGAAGAGGACTGTAAGTCCAAATTATGTTTGTTGGGCTCACGTTTCCTGTCCGCAACATCAATTTTTTTTTTTCTGCGTGCTAATTCTGCCTAGTACGACTCCTGGCCGCTACTCCCGCCGCACAGCAGCGTAGCTTACGTACTCCCAGCATCCTAGTTCTTTGTACTTTGTACCTATACCCTTAAAATGATGTTATAACGACATACGAACATTTCAAGTTGTGAACGGCCATCCGAACATATCTCGTTCGTAAGCAGAGGAGCTTCTGTAGTCATCTCTTTACGAAGTATTCTACAAAGAATGTTACCCATATGTAGTCTGTGACTCTACTCAAACTCTCAGTAAGTTTCATAAGTGTCAGTATGTTTATGATGGGATCATCGATACCTATATCTTTGGCCTATGCTTGCAGTATAAGTCAAACTGAAACCAGTAGATCTCTCTGTACATCTGTGTAAAGTTTTGCATCCAATAGCATAATCCTAGAGAGTAAATATATAAAACATTGGTGGTCTTCTATTAAAGGTGAGATGGTAGAAAATGACAATTCATTTCAAATATAGTGGTTATAACATAAGAAATACATGTGCAAACACAAGCAAGTAAATATTTTTCATAATTAGTTTAGTCATTTTGACAAGCTAACAATATAGAAGTTTCAGTAACAGGATTGTAGCCTTAGTTAAAAATTTGCCACAATAATGAAAATTCCAAAATAATCATATATGTTTTCCTTCTTGCAGTACTGGTGAGACATTCCTGTAATGGGTTAACAGTCAACTGGCACCACAGGGGAAAAATGAAATCTTATTTGCATATTTAAACTCACCCGCAGCCCTGTTACTCTCGGTGTACACATTGTCTCTCCTATCATCAAGGCCTTTAAGGGTGGTGCTGCTGTTGGTGCTGGTGCTGGTGCTGGTGCTGGTGGTGGTGGTGGTGGTGGTGGTGGCGGTGGTGGTGGTTCTGGTGGTGCTGGCGGTGGTGGTGGTGGCGATGGTGGTGGTGCTGTTGATGTCATTAGTGGTGGCGATTGTTGTGAAGCTGGTTATGTCCTCTGGGTTGTTGGACTGGGTAATATTAGTGCCCGGGGATGGAGTGGCTTCGCCAGAATCTACGTCAGTATAACCAGAACCCGTTTCATCTTCACTTGTGTTAGTGTTGTTTGTGTTTATGTCTTTAGTGTCTGTGACGTTGAGGTCTGTGTCGTTTGTGCTTGCGTTGTCAAATGTTATGCCATTATTACTCATGTCCTCTCCGCTTGTCCATGTTTCGTTGGACCCAGTGGTGTCCAGACCTGTTTCTGTGTTGGTCATGGTGGCATTTGTGGTGTTGTGAGGAGTGATGTTCTCTGGAAATGAAAATGAGCCGTCTGTTCCATTGCTGATCAGCATGGACGCATATTCCAAGATGTCAACGTCTTTTGCCAATGAAAAATTAGTTTGTTGCTCTGAAGGCTCAAGCAGCTCTGTCCCTCTGAATGAGTGAAGTAATAGTAGGAGCACAACTGTCACATCCATGTTGATTTTTCTTACTTTCTTTTCTAACAATAAAAAGAAAAAAGTGAAAATTCAAATTTCAATTTTATACAAAAAGACAACAGAAAGCAAAAATGCAAGACACATTCCAGCCATTCCTGGATGACAAAAATATTTACACAGTTGCCATCTCTAAAAATCAGGTTTGTCATAAACTCCCATCCAGCCATTTCCTGTAACCACTTATCCTATGCAGGGTTGCAGGCGGTCCAGAGCCTATGCTGAAGGCTACAGGTACAAGGCAGAGAACATCCCAAGACAGGGCACCAACCCATCGCAGATCACACTCACATGCTAGTCACTAACACACACACACACCTATGGGCAATTTGGTAACTCCAATTACCTTGGTTTTTGGACTGTGGGGGGGAAACCGGAAAACCCGGAGCAAACGGGGAGAACATGCAAACTCCACACACATGGAGCCATAGCAGAGACCCAAACCCTGTTCCCAGAGGTGTGAGGCAATTGTGCCACCATGCCACCCCCTTGGCATAAACTTTTCTCCTTTAATTGTAAAACTATTTCTAAGATACAGTAATGTTTTCATCAATCCAAATATTTGTCTTTACATATCATAAAGAATTACACTTGCTTTAAGTCCCCTCAATAACTGTAGCCTTAACCTAAGACTTATCCTTAGACGTACTTCTGCAGTCAGTCTGGTAAAAGGCTCAGATGGAGGTTTCCTTGGTTAAAGTCCATATTCCAAATGCAGGGTTGTTGTGAGCTTGGGTCCTATTCTAGGAATGTGGCTGTGAGCTGACATGACATCCCATCAAAAGGCACCCATTCAGACACGCAGTCACACCACAGACGACGTAGGTCCGCGTTCACACAACTGCATGTCTTTGAACTATGGAGGAAACTGGAGTATCCAGAGGAAACGCACACAGAGAAAAACATGCAGACTCTGTAGAGACAGAGCCGCAGGTGGGAAATGAATTTACAGATTTGGCAGGTATATGGCTACAGTGCTATCCGCCAACTCACTGTAGCGCACAAAACAGTCATACTATAGCAAACTGTCTATATACGACTGCGCTAATTTAGTCAAGATGAGGTTCTACAGAGGAGAGAGTTACACACAGTCCCCAGACTGTGGACGAGATCCTTTCCCTAAGTTTGTTTTTAAGTTGAATTGGTTGGTCGGGAAAATAATAATAAAGTACATAATATTATTGATAATTATACATTAATAATAAAAGTAACTAAATACGGTAGTGTACTGTACTTTGGGCCAACGAACTGCTGAAGCCACACAATGTTACAAAGCAGTGCGTGACTTTGTTATTATGAACAATTGTATTTAACCCATTTTTTTAGTATAATAGGCTTTATGGCAGTCTGTTCATAAGTATGAGTTGTCCATAAGTCGGGTGTTCTTAACCTGGGGACTGTCTGTATAGAATCTCAGCTTGTCTAAGTACCAGAAAAAAAGGCCTTGTGTGATTAAGATTTTGCATTGAGAGACCATAAACTGAATTCCTGAATTCCATTCATTTCAAGCATTCAGGTGCAAGAAACAGAAAGACATATACCTGCTTTGACCAGTTTGGAGCAGTATAATACGTAACAACACACAAACAAAGCTATTAACTAGGAATATGCCTGTCTTTATTGAAGTGTGGGAGGGGGTCACCAGTGGACTGAACCCACAGCCGCGCAGGCCTGGACTGGAATGAATAATCAGCCCTGGACATTTGACCAGACAGTCCCCCCACGCATACATACAATAGTGCACCATCACATTATGCCGAGTATGTTCCCCACAATATTGAGGCCCACAAACCCATTGGCCCACTGGGAAAATCCCCAGCATGCCAAGTAGCCAGTCCAGGTCTACAGCTGGGAGAGTGAATGACATATGATATACCTTCCCATGCTTCTGATTTCTCCCACGGCCTCAACCTACCCACTGATCGAATACCCATTCAAACGGCCGTTCGGAACGTATCTCGTTCATAAGTAGAGGAGTGTCTGTATACTGTTTATATACTATACAAAACTCAAAACTATTTACCTCAGAATAAATCCATCCCATTGTCAGACTAAGAGTTATTTTACACATTTAAAAATTCCAAAGTTCTTCTATATAATCAGATATGAACATTTTTTGACATTTAGCAAAAAGGTTAGGAGGGAGAGGTAAAGGTCAAGATGGAGGTGAAATGCAGCCACCTACCAGGTCAGATGTAGCTCAGCAAGGTGCTAGTGTTGGAATAAAGGCAGCATGTGAACAGTGTCTCCTGATAACAAGACCGTAGACCTATAAGAGGAAAGAGGAGTGGAAGGTTGACAGAAGGAGGGAGGCATCTGGCTGCGGCAGGAGGGAACACCACCTATGGTCACCTGAGAACCTGCCTGACTGGATTTCACACCTGTTAATCACACTCGCTGTATTCGGTCAGTCAAGGCAAAACATCTCCGTAATGTTCCTATGAATATTCAAACCTAAGACTGAAGGCACGTCAAGGAATTTCACTTTATTTTAGCTCAATATCATATGTGAAGCAGCTAAATTTAGACTCCATGTCTATGAATTGTTTATTGGGAAAAATACACTGTTTTTTCCCTTTGAGTAGATTCTGATCTTACAAATTTTTAGCATGTCAATGCTTGATGTCTTGTTATATTAGCTCTTTATGAAATGCTTGGACATGTTTTCGAAACAGTTAGTGGTAAAACCACTTCCTCCAATCGTAATATGGATCTCTCTCTGTCAGTCATCCTCAGGCACACATACGAAAATTAAGTTCTTTTCAATAAGAGTAACTTGTGAATGAGTAGTAGCTAAAACTAAGGCTAGAGCTGTGCTATTCACCCAGAAGTAACAGAAAGTAATGCAGCTTTGGAAAACAATAGGTATTCCGTCACACGGCAGGAAGGCTATCTGTTTTGGCAGTCACAAAAGCATCTGCTTTAGGTATTTGAGGTTTTGGTTACAGACACTAAGACATGCCCATCTTTGGCATGTCTGAGTGTGTGCAAAGCCAAACATTCACAAAGCAATGTGACCTTTAAATGACATTATAGACTATAAAATATTTGATAAATGTTAGGGGCCGTTTTTTACTTTTCACTCAAAACATGCATTGAACATTTTTCAATAGAAAAACAACGATTTAAGAAGTTTCTGCTCATGTTTACTGTTCTGCTGATCCTGTGAAGCTAATCTTTCATCTAACTGGCCATATTTTCATAAACATAAAGCAGTTTCTTTTTTGTCCTAACCTTATTTGTGTATTTACCTTTGGTCTAGCCAGAATATGAATTCTTCTCAACTTCCTCTCTGCTCATGATATACTTCATTATAAACCTCAGATTTTCAAAAGAGTTCAGAAAGTTATGCCAAAACTGACATGTTCAATTCTATACCTGAAAAAAACCTACTATTAAGGTATTTAGGATTCTATGTAATTATCTTCAGTGGGCAGATAATGTAACACTTTGAGAAGGAGAGTTTAAAGTCTCTTTAAATGATTCCTAACTGAATATACACGTAGATGGCGTAACATTTGAAATCCCTCCTGGAGGGATATGAAGAGTCATAGTGGAATTTTCTTGAAGATAGTGTAACACTTTTATATCCCTTATTGTTGCTGACCCATTTGTTTCTTATCTTATAGCAACTGTGTTTCTGGAGTTCTGGAAAAGGAGAAGAGCGGAGCTGACATATGACTGGGATTTGATTGACTGGGAGGAAGAGGAGGTATAAAAAACTAGTCAGACTCATCAATGATGATATGCAAGTTCTGTCCCTTTGCTAACCTCCAGAATATGACTGATGTTTTTCACACAACTTATTCAATTTACTGGTCAACGAGTGAGTCACATTAAGTTAAAGATCACTGTTTTCTACAGGCGATTTTAGATCAATTGATCTGAAAACATTTCAATTGATCTGAAAAAAATTTGGTTTTAATGTAGGTTATACTTTTAAAAACAATGTAATTTTATTCAAACAAAAAATCCTCAAAACACATTGGCTTTCTTGCACACAGTAGATTTGATCAGTTAGGTCTCGTTGAACTTATTCTATTTGGACTATGCCAAAAAAAGCCTTAACTGTCATTTATTATAAACAATGGTTGCTATTTTGGATACCATACTGGTATTTCCAGAATGGCTGGTTTTACGGTTACGTCTTACTGTACATCCATCTCGTCATCTGGAATTCCTCTATCTGATGCCCTGCTATCCTCTGCAGACGCAGGCATGTGCGATCATGGGAGGATTGTCAGGATTGAGTCAGCATTTTTTGGGGGGTTAGTGCTAATACCGGGTTGCCAACTCTCACGCACCTGGCGTGACGCAGATGCTTTCAGACTCTCATGCTCACGCAAGCGATCTTGTGGCAAGACTCTATTATGCCATTATAAACCTAAAATTAGCTACGTCAAAATCGCTGGGGTAGTTCGCAAACCCTACAGACTATTAACAAGGTAAAAATACACGTAAATGCGTGTGCAGACTTTTCTCAAATTGAAAACCTCACACCAGCTGACCAAAGTTGGCGTCCCTGCTAATATATTAAGCCTTCGGCACTGAACTGAGCACTAACTACCCATGAGTCATTTATTCAATTCTCTGGCATTTCCTTTAAACAGCTTATTGTTAACCCAACAATTGTTAGGGTTCTGTTGCAAATAGTAATGTAATATGTAAACAGTTTCTAATCTCTTTTTCATATGCTTAAATTAATTTTTTAATCATCTTTATTTTGGGGGAAGCACTGTTGCCTCACACCTGTGGGACCAGGGTTCGAGTCTCCGCCTTGGCTCACATGTGTGGAGTTTGCACATTTTCTCAAGAAAAGAATATGTAGGGTAAAATTCCTACCACCAGGTGATATGTTAAGTTATCAAATTTCCGTCCATTTCCTTTTTTGAACTGGCGTGACACCTTGCTAATAAAAATAATACGTAGAGAAAGGCCGTCTTTTGGCTTAATGGTTTTAGATTTTAGAGTTTCACGAAGGTGTGGAAAGGCAACCCCTTTCCTCCCATGCAGAATATACTGTACAGGATGACTTCCTGTAGTGACAACAGGGACCGTCGTCTAGGGAACTACAGCTTAAAGTATTGTCCTGTTATCACAGTGTCAAAAGCATGCAGGAGTCCTGCACTTGTAGTCCTGCATTATTATGTATGCATGAGGAAAACAAATGCATGTAAACAACAACATGCTTGGCAACATGGCAAAAATAGCTTGAAGGGCTGAAAGAAATGTCCCCACAGAACTCTATATTATTGACTGCTACGATGCATCATGTTACTTTGTCTAGCAATTTAGTTGATAAGTATGACTTTATTTATCATTTATTATAAGAATGACAATGTACGTTAAAACAAGTGAACAACAATATACGATGTGGAGAAGAGAAAATAAAAACAAAATGTGTAAATAAAATAAAGTTTAGTTATATAATATGGCCTTCCTACTACATACTGTCACAAAACACAGTTAGGAAACATGCTGACAATAAAATCTGACAGACACCAAGTTTTATTACTAAAACTTAATTATCAGTAATTATAAAACCATTATAAAAATCACCCGTTTATGTATTTAAATAATGTAAATTACACCAGTTTAAAAGGAACCGTATTTCCTTCTTTCTGCTGTATTTCCACACCCACAACTGAAATTCTTTGTAGACTAGTGAGTAAACAGAGCCAGAAATAGGTCATGGTGGGTGTCTGTAAGCACCCACAGTGAGACTTCATCATTCAGCCGATGTCTGCAGTCCACTGCATGCCCAATCAACTGCAAACTGGCAGTGCACCCAGAACGAAAAACAATACTAGGGCAGTAAGAAGCTTGGCATATGCCTGTATGTGAAAGAACCTGTCACTTTGAGTATTATACACTCATATATATGGCCTGGATAACTAAGTGGCTGATCCACATTATGCAATAATACAAGATTTCCTTTTTTCTTTGTAGGAAGAGCTACGCCCCCAGTTTGAGGCGAAGTATTCGAGGGTCGAGAGGGTGAATCCCATTTCTGGTAAACCCGAACCCTTCCAGCCCTTTACAGACAAACTCAGCCGACTGATGGTCTCCGTTTCTGGAATCTTCTTCATGGTACATTTCTTCTTCTGCTGCTTATTATTATTCGTATTATTATTAATATGCAGCAAGCTGGTTCAGTAGGCTGCGCCACTGCATCATAGCCCTTCGAGTGGAGTACACTTTGTTTACCTTTGTTGTGTTGGTTTCCTCTGGTGCCCCTGTGTGTGCTGGTGTCCTGTGTTGGATTAGTCCCCTGATTTGTGCCCTATATTTCCTCTGGAAGGCTTCAGGCTCCCAAGGACCCTGTAAGACATAAGCGGTGACACATGGATGAATATTGAAAGAAAATGACTTTCTGTAAATGGGCTGGTGGTGGGAGGGGGTGTTGTTCTTTTCTTTATTACCGATGAAATGAATATTTGAAGCACCGATCATTGATTTCACTCAGCGCATAATTTAATTTTCTGTTTTATGATACGATCAAAGGAGTGACAGTAGGTACAAAGGAGTGCCTGCAGCACACAGTCATGCATCTTCAGGAGATGAGCTTTTGGCTGAGTGTGCTCCTCAGAGTTCTTCTTTGATTAGTCATTACCTCTATTTGCTGCAATGGAAAATGAATCAAATGGCATTAGAGTCAATTTAGACTTGGAACAATTGGTGTGGGCTTCATTATGCTGCAATATGCTGCCTGCTGTGTCTTCACCAAATGCCCTGTCCATCTCGCCGTGACCAGATCTCCCTGGTGCTGACTGCTGTCTTTGCTGTGGTGGTCTTCCGGCTGATCGCCATGGAGCATTTTGCATCCTTCCAGTGGGAGTTCGTGAAAAAGAACTGGCAGTTTGCCACCTCGGGCACTGGAGTCTGCATCAACTTCATGATCATCATGTCTCTTAATGTGGTGAGTTGGGGGTGTCTGACCATCCTTGTTACAGTAACCCTACTCTGCGACCTATCACGCTGCCCTAAATTCCTTAACTGAATCGTTTGTGCGCATAACTCAGCCTCTTAGGGCACAGCACAAGAAACAAGTTAATGTTCAGTCTTAGTTCGAGGTGTGAATTCTTTGGCAATGGCACACACATACTGAATTCGTTAACACCGTTTACTGAGTAAGTATACATGCATGCAGAATTCAAGTTTCTCGGCTTCCAAGAAGAAATTCCATGAATTGTACACATGGCACCAAACAAAAACTCAGCAATGTTCTGAATATTCTTTGCTGTGCAAGGGACTGGAAAATAGTGCACAAACAGTGCAGGTGTACACATTAGGTGACACAGGCATCTTCTGAAGGGGTGCTGATTTGGCAAACCCTGGCACATAGCATCTGTGACAAAGTGGGAGGTGAAGTTTGAGGGGGCGAGGAGGTGGAAAGACTGGATTAAGAGTATTAAGTGTCCCTGGGCAGCAACATCTAGAAAGGCCTCCAAACCACCCTCCTCCACCTAGATGTGGCTAAGGTGGTAGCGCATCTGATTGGTGACCAGTAGTGATGGCCAAATGAAGTTTCATGAAGCAGTTGCTATATTTTTGGTATTATGGTGCTCTCTATTAAAAAAAAGGCTCAATTAATGACTCAAAACGAACCAATCGTGCCACCTAGTTGGGTCAAAAAACACAGAAAATGGTTCATGAAGCTTCATTTGACACTTTTATCCCTAGTGACCAGAGTTGCTCGTTCAAACTCAGGCCATCTCTGTCGGTTTGTCCTTTAGCAAGACACGGAACCCACTGAAACACTTAATATGCCATGTGGAGTATCTCTGTCATCAGTTAGTAGATAATAGGCATGATTTGTAAGTCACATGGGAAAGAAGCATCAACTAATTGAAAAAGGCAAAAATCTGGACATATAGAACAATAAGCTACATTTGAACTATTCTGTAACCAAACCTAGGTACAAATTTCATCATATACGAAGGATAAATGTAAAACAGATATGGAAAGAAACAGCAAAAAAGTGCCAACTAAGTACAACTGGGGACTCTGCTATAGCTAATTAGCAAAGTAGTGCCAAATGAAAAGAAACACAACACCTTCCAATTTTACAATCAACAATTGATTTTTGTGGACAACTGGTGTATGATGTCCTCACTATCCAAACCATTTGCTAGCGCAGATGCAATGCCCAGCAAGGAGAGTACAGATAAGGTTTTTCTTTGTTATCTTCAGGGTATGCAGAGGTAAGAGCATCAGCCTTTTTATAAACAACAGTGCCAGAAGAGTCCATATGCAATGAAATGCCAAAAAGAAGACGTGTCCCTGTACTAGCAATTAGCAGTCCTCACACACCTCTGCCTGCCTGGGAAGATCTATGCCAGAGTACAGGAGAGGGGGTCTGTTCATTAGTTGAAAATCGGATCTAAGAGGAACAATGCAGATTCCGTCCTAGTCGTGGAATGCTGGATCAGCTCTTCACCCTCACAAGGATACTAGTGGGTTCATGGGAGTTTGCCCGGCCAGTCTATATGTGTTTTGTAGACTTGGAAGAGGCATACTACCATGTCCCCTGGGGGTCCTGTGGGGTGTCCTTCAGGAGTAAGGGGTACGGAGTCTGTTATTAGTTTCATCAGGTCCCTGTGTAACCAGAGCAAGAGTTTGATTTACATTGCCAGTAGTAAGTAGTAATTCATTCCCGGTGGGTGTTTTATTCTGCCAGGGCAGCCCTGTCACTAATTCTGTTCAGAACTTCTATGGACAGAATTTCTAGGTGTGGCCAAGGGGCGGAAGGGGTCTGGTTCGGGAGCATCAGGACTGCGTCTTCGCTTTTTACAGATGATGTGGTCCTGTTGGCTTCGTTGAGCTTTGACCTGCAGCATGCGCTGGGACGGTTTGCAGCTGAGTGCGAAGCGGGCCGGGATGAGGATCAGCACCTCCAAGTCTGAGGTCATGGTTCTCAACCAGTGAAGGGTGGATTGCTCAGTCTTGGTTGGGGATGGATTACTGCCTTAAGCAGAGGAGTTTGAGTATATTTGGGTCTTGTTCACAAGTGAAGGAAGCAGAAAGCAGGAGATTGACAGGCGGATCGGTGTAGCACCGACAGTTATGTGGGCGTTGTACTGTTCTGCCATCATGAAGAGCTGAGCTGGAAGGTGATGCTATTGATTTACTGGTCAGTCTACTTTCCTACCCTCACCTATAGTCACGAGCTTTGAGCAGCAACCGAAAGAATGAGATCACGGATATAAGCGATTTCCTTTTCAGGGTGTCTGGGCTCAACCTCAGAAATAGGGTGAGGAGCTTAGACATTCAGGAGCAGCTCAAAGTACAGCCACTGCTCTTCCATATTGAATGGAACCACTTGAGGTAGTTCGGGCATTTATCTAGGATGCCTTCTGGAGATGGAGGAGATCCCGGAGCAGACCCAGGACATGCTGGAGAGAGTATACACCTTGGTATCCCCCTGGAGGAGCTAGAGGAGGTGGCTGGGGGGAGGAAGGCCTGGGCATCCCTGCTTAGACCACTGCCCCCTTGTCCTGGATAAGCAGTGGAAAATGAATGAATTAATGTCTCTGTACTAAGGCAGGAGAGGAGCTGATTAATGATGTCATTAGGTGTCTCAAATTGGAATTGCTGCCTGCCATTCAGTATTACTTAATGGTCAGCAGACTCATCAGCAAATTCCTTTCCTGTTTTCACCCACTGAAGATCATGCTGATACAACTGCGTAACACCACAGATATCGGAAGCAGACTTCTCAGTCTCCTCAAACCAGTCACGCAATGTCTGAATATTCAAATGCAGCAACTGCATTAGAATAACTGGCTTTTGTAAATCTGTGCCAATCTTTTGCAAATGATCACTTGTGACTTTAAAGCTCTGGAGTGCCTTATCCCATAACAAAGCCCAACATTGCATTCCCCCATTTTCCAAGCTTACGAAGGAGAGCAGTAGCACCGTGTTTCTTATTCCTATCCAAAGCAAATTTTCCTAGCACCTTTTACAGAACAGTAATTTTCATGAAGGGTCTTTGTAGAATCACCCCTACAACTCCGTCTTGTGCTGGTTAGGGATTTATACAGTACCAATGAAAAGTCTGGACCTACCTACGCATAGAAAGTTTTACATATTAGAGTAATCATGAAGACGTCTAAACTATAAAATAACATATGGAAATATGTACCGACCAAAAACGTATTTATAAACATTAATTTGCTGGGGCAGGCGGCCAGCTCTGTGTATTGGGACTCAATAGGTTCAAATCCCATAGTTTTCTGAGTGATCCCATCATTGGGCCCTTGAGTAAGGCCCTTAACCCCAAATGCTCCAGGGACTGGCTAACCCAACTGTCTCCTTTATGCCAGTTTCATGAGGTGGCCTACTGGGAAGCTTTTCCAGTTGCCTTGAAGGAGATCCCACATATGCTGAGTACTCACTGGCCACGTTTCCTTCACCATATGTCAAAATCCTCCAAAACCATTTCTACTATATTTAGGGCATTTACCCTGGTCATGTGATGTGACACTCTATCACTCTCCTTTGCAGGCGGCTTGGCATGTCCAAACTTTTGAGTGGTACTGTATTCCCTACTAAAACAAACCTCACTGCTGTGAAATACCTTATTCTAATGGTGACCGGGATGCTAAATGTGCAAAGTCACATGCCGAAGATCAAAATAACATCTTGGCAGCAATTGTCAACAATATTCACGCCCACAAGGTTCAGTGAATGTCCAGCGCAAAAAATGCAACATACCAAGGGGTTTGTTTGTTAAAGTCTATTATATTAACATGTTATTTCTGTTGTCTTAGCTTTGTCCACAGCAATTAGTCATGGATCCATGTTAATTACACCTTGCTATTGTCACTAACAAATCAAAAAATGATAACTGGTCAAATTTAGACAAATCTGGTATTGAATATATAATGACAGAGAATTTTTTTGCCTGCAATAACCCTTTGTATTTTTTACCCATTAAAGAGATGAGTTCATCGCAGAAACATGGTATTTTATGAATGGGTCAAGTTGTGTAATTAGCTCCAGAATACCCAGTAATTGCCACCATTTGCAGAACTAAAAGTTTATCATATGTTCGAAGGGCAAGACCTCCCTGGCAGAAAAATTTAAGTACTGGAAGTACATGTCTTAAAATTCCCCTGAATTTTTCTGCTCTGCTTCCATTGTCCGATCAAGAGAAACATCTACGGTGCCAATTTGTGTTGACCTGTACAACAACACTAGCATGCGCTTCCTGTGTCTTGTTTTTCTTTCGTGATCAGCTATCTGTTCAGGGTGCTTCCGATCACAGAAACCTGAGATAAATGTGTTATGTTGTGACGACAGTAGCCTGCATGCAAATCAAAATACTGCACCTGTCAAGGGCAAATATGCACTAGCCTCACTAATAGGCCAGAGGCAGCAGAACAAGTGCTAACCTCTTCAAAAAGTGATCCAGGTAGCTGTAAACGCTGTAAACATAACCCTGAGCCACCATCATGTTTTTGGAAAAAAATAGCTATTTCTAGCACATTTTGCAAGGTAACCATACTCCTTTGCTTTTTTAGTTTGCTTTTAGCCACTCGATAAGTTGCTGACCTCTGTTCATTTTGATTCGAGCTACAGTAGCTAACCAACTAACTAGCAACACACAAATTTACCAGAAATAAAGGTTCTTGGGTTCTTGGCTTGTTAGAAGTTGTTGTGTAGCTCCTGCTCCAATACTGCTTACACTTGTACCTGGGCATCCACTGGAAACTCAGCCTAGCTGCAGTGATGCTTAGTTGACTCCTTGACAGGATATGTGTTTGCAACTGTACGTTACTTTGGACCACTGGCACTGACAGGGTTGGCTATGTGGATTGTGTCAGTCCCCATGAGTATGACTGTGGTGAAAGAGGGTCCATGTTTCTGGACTTTGCAAAAGGTCATGGGATGCAGACTGCTGGACCCTGGTTCCAGTGCCCTGAGCCACATCGCTGGACTTGGTACTCCAATACTGGTGGTGATCGATTATATCCTGGTGAACAGACACTGGAGGCTCCTTCAGAACTGCAGGGTGTACAGCAGTGCATCTCGCAGGGCACCTTGGATATTATCAAGAGCAGTTGCAGCACACGGCTTGATGGCAACTCTGGTTTATACCAGGAACTGAGAAGGACAGCTGTGAGGGCTCTGAGGGCAGACCAGTAGGCGTTCGTTAGAGGGATCTGTGAGCAAGTAACACACAATCTATGGTCTAATGACCCACGCCCTGCTTACAGAGGATTCAAAGCATTACAAACTTTCCTTGGAGAGTTGCAGTCAGGGTGGGTGATGAACAGTCCTTACAGATGACACTGCAGTTGTGACCTGCTGGGTCAGCTACTTTGAGCAGCTGTTTAAAGCTGATACTCAGGCTTGGACACTGGACATCTCCGGGTCCAAAGTTCTTGAGGTTGATCCTCCACTTAGCTGTGAACCAACCAGTCTCACTGAGATTGCTCAGGTGGTGAACCAGTTGAGGGTAGGGAAGGCTGCAGGGACTTTTGGTATCCGGGGGTTGAACTTCTCCACGCTGGTGGTAAGGCTGTCCTCCTGGCATTGCAAGCAATCATTGCTTTCATTTTGAAGATGGGCATCATCCCAACTGACTGGAAAATGAGACTTGTCCCTACCTGGAAAGGGAAGGGTGATCACCTAGATTGTGGCAACTACAGGGGGATAACACTGCTCCCAGAGCCGGGTAAGGTCGTTGCTAAGGTCATCTTCAATAGGATCCGTGATCACTTGCTCACCTACCAGCGACTGAAGGAGTCTGGTTTTATACCTAAGAAGTCTACCATTGGCAGAGTTTCTTTGCAGCCTTTGTCAATCTCCATAAAGCATTTGACTCAATTGATTGAGGTGCTCTGTGGGACATCCTGAGACTTTGTGGGATCGCCCCGAAGTTGCTGGACATCATGGCCGGCCTGTACAGTGGTACTCTTAGTGCTGTGCAGCATGGAGGCAGAACTTCTGCATTCTGTCCAGTTGATTCTGGGGGTCACTAGGGGCGTGTGCTTGCTTCTACTCTATTCAGTACTTGCATGGAATGGGTGATGGGCAGGGTCGTGAGGTCCAGCTGCTGTGGGGCATCTGTTGGTGAAGAAAGACTCACTGACCTTAACTTTGCAGATGATGCTGTGATATGGAGGCTCATATCGGGGATCTCGAGAGACTGACTGAGGAGTCTGAATGTCTGGGCTTGCGAGTGTCCTGGACAAGAACCCAGATCCAGGCTTTTAATGACCTCTTGGGCACAGCCCTCAGCAGTGTCTCTGTCTATGGAGAGAATGTCGGCCACTTTGAGGGGTTCATATACCTTGACGACTTTCTTGTCCTCCCTGTTTTGCTGTATGGCTACAAGACATGGACACTATCCAGTGACCTGAGATGAAGACTGGACCCTTTGCTATAATCTCTTTAGAGAATTCTTGGGTACCTCTGGTTTGACTTTGTGTTGAATGAGCAGTTGCTCAGGGAGCCCCGAATGAGGCACATTAACTGCATTGTGAGGATTCATACATATTTCAATGATTGAAAACACAAGCCTCCAACTAGTACCATACTTACTGCTCATTTTCTTTGCCAGGTGTATGAAAAGGTGGCATATCTCCTTACAAATTTAGGTAAGTGCTTAAAACACTTTAACATGCACTGGTTTCTCAGCACCTCTTGCTTGGGGAAATAAAATGCACGAGGACTGATGCCATTTATGGAATTTCTCTTTCAGAGCATCCTCGGACAGAATCTGAATGGGAAAACAGCTTTGCACTGAAGATGTTCCTCTTTCAGTTTGTCAACCTGAACAGTTCCACCTTCTACATTGCCTTCTTCCTGGGCAGGTAGGCAATATTTAATATTAGCCAGTCACATGCTATTTTTTTTTTACCTTTAAATGGGGGATAATCCTGAAGAACTACCACGTGGCTTTCCCAGTTCACAGTGGTAAAGGTGGTTTTCAGGGCCAATGTTGCAAAATTATCTTAGAAAAGCTATTTTTGAACAGTTGCTTTGAGCCCATTAGTTTTTGTCGGGGGGCAACTGCTACACTGTATGAGGTGTTTGTATAACTGCTTTGAATAATTGGTTTTTATAACATTTTCTAACATATATTTCTTTATTTGCCACCGCTTTAAGATACAGGCAAACAATACACAGACACACACACTCACACACACACATTTTGTATATTGGATTGTATTGGATTTCCATGTCATATACATCTGCATATGTACAACCTGAATGTCCCTATTTTGTTTTCCAGCATCACACAGAAATATCATGGATAGTATGTCTGTTAGTGATGCAGGGGATCTGGTTACTGAAGCTTCAGAGCTGATTCTCCAGTCAATCAGTCAAACCACATTTTACCGTTATAGTATTTTCATTTAATACACTGATAAATGATCCATGTGCTTTGGCAAGATCCACTGGACATTTTCCTTGCAACAAATACTTGAAACAGCAACTATATTATTATATTTGAGAAGGTCTAGACTGCACTTGACAGATAGAGTGCCAAAGATACTTCCCATTTTTACTTTTCAAGTACGTTAGCCTGCAAAATAATAACTGTACAAAAATGCAGAAAAAAATGCAGAAAAGTCAAGGGATGAGCCTGCTCACTCAGCTCAGCAGCTCACTCAGCTCACCCAGCTCGCTGCCTCACTCAACTCACCAGCTGACATTTCTTTACATTGCATATGAACGGCTGGAAACCAAACACTATATATACTCTGTATCTGGCTAGTAAATCTGTCTCACTCAGGGTCCCATTTTTATGACAAGGCTATAAAATTCACATTATACACCTTAAGGATATTTCACAAAGACACATGGCACATCTGTAACATTTAACCATTAAGGGTCAGAGGCTTTGTTGTTCACTTTCTGTATGTCTGATTTTGGCTTTATATAAGAAGTTTACGACACCAAAATGATGTGTTGAATTGATAATTGACAGAGAGGAGAGGGGCCAGTGAGCTCTCAGCTGGGGCCAGTGCTGGTGTGGCCTGTTAGTACTTAATCTGGGCAAATGCTTCGTGCATTTTTATGTAAACCACTTAAAAGTGAGCACAGTACCGACTCACATAACCGTGTTGTTGTATTGCTGGAAAATCTGTTGTGACAGTGTCCTGCTTCTGCGGTGCAGGTTTGCAGGCAGGCCTGGGAAGTATAACAAGCTGTTTAAGAGATGGCGCCTTGAGGAGGTGAGTCATACAACATACAAACACTGGCTAAAGGGGCCATGTGTGTGCTGCTCTGGCCTATAACTCAAATACAGGCATAATAGGGTACCGTGACTTTAAATTTCATTTGAGTAGCAGCTTTTTCTAGCATGGGGTGCAGAGTGTGGCTCAGCTAGTTATGCCTCTGTGGCTGTGATAGGAAGGTCGCTGGTTTGAACCTTGGCGGAAGAGTCACGTCTCTGTTGAGCCCCTGAACAAGACCCTAACCCCGCCCCCCCCATAACGCTCCAGGGGTGCTGGAGAACTGGCCTGACCCTCCAGTCAAGCCCCAAGGTTCACTCTTACATTTATATACATATAATTTTACAAAAATCATACATTGGAGCTGAGGTACCCAAGAAGTAACTGGAATAACAGTTTAACAAAGTTTCACAATCCCTAAAAATTTCCCACAATTTTGACCACTAGTGTATATATAGTCCTGTGTTTGTGTCTCAAAGGACAGCAAGGTGTGGTTTGTGAAAAGAAGCATTCCAATATACTTATGTAAATGACAAATAAAATATAGTTCCTTTGATATGGATGCTTTATTATTTTTACATGGAGAATTACAATTTATTGCATCCCAGTACTTGGCAGCAGTTTATATGTAGCGTGGAAAGACCTGTTCTGTTGTTAGGTAAAGGTTAATGTGTGACAAGCCGTATATGTTTTTAAGTACACCACTGTGGAGGTTGCAAACAGCTTGGAGTGCACTAACCCGCTTATACCACGGTTACTATACTTTTGGATCACACACTTGTAGCTAAAGACATTATTTTCATGTTTAAGTTTATGGAAACACATTTATTGGTAGAACTAATTTCTTCTATCAGTGATTAATCATTAGTTTTCATTACTTTTAAATTGTGTTCTACGTCTGGAGTTTTAAGTAATGGGAGTGAGAATTAAAGATTTACTCGATTTACTACTGTGATACTACTGGCTCTACATGTGCAGTTCTAAAGAAGTAACACCCCTCTGACCAATCAGATTTGAGACTTCAATAGAGCTGCAATATATTGTTTATATGTTAATTAGTAGTTATTACAAACCTCATTGCTGTCACCATGAATACTTCACTTTGTTTTCTCCCCCAGTGTCATCCCAGCGGCTGCCTCATAGACCTTTGTCTGCAGATGGGGGTTATCATGGTGCTGAAACAGATCTGGAACAACTTCATGGAGCTGGGCTACCCGTAGGTTTCACACTGCCCGTTCCCTGTGTTATGCGCCTTCACATTACACAATGAATTACTCTCAGCATTATACTCAGAGGTATTTAACGGCCTGTTATCCACGGCCTGGCTTTAATAATAGTTAGGGTTGGTCACACTGGGATTCGCTCCACTTCTTTTGTCATCCTGTCTTATCGCATTTTTTTTAACACCACAAAGGTTGCTCCAAAACTGGTGGTCACGCAGAAAGATAAAGAAGGGCGGGCAGAAAGTGGAGAGCAAGGTGCCGCTTCCTCAGTGGGACAAAGACTGGAACTTACAGCCCATGAACGCTCATGGACTGGTGGATGAGTACCTAGAGATGGGTACGATCTGTGGGGCGGCCCAGGGCCTGGCTGGTTATGCTTATAACTGCATATAATGATCGTTTTCTATAAATAATAGATAAACATGATAAATTACAATTCTATAGTATGCAGTCTGATTGAAATGGATTTCAATGATACGGAAGTTTTTTCAAAAATTTTAAGCTCTAAAAAAAAGGGTTCGAATTCATGATGGTGGTATACATCGATGTCTACGGTAACTTGCTCAGGCGGCATTTCGAGTTCAGGTGAGACTCTGTCCTCTTTCCTTAAGTAGGACCTAGGCAGGCTAAGACAGCAGCACAGATCTCTGTCACGCCTTACTGGCTCTGACCGGCTGACCTGACACTTGTGCTTCCCACACTAGTGCTCCAATTCGGCTTCACCACCATCTTCGTGGCCGCCTTTCCCCTTGCCCCACTGCTGGCGCTACTCAACAACATCATCGAGATCCGCCTGGACGCCTACAAGTTCGTCACGCAGTGGAGGAGACCCATGCCAGCCCGAGCCACCGATATCGGTGAGCCCGCCCACTGGCGGCCGCTCCGGCCCACATGCTTGTGTAATCGCCGTCTGGGTCTCAGACACTACAGAAATAAGAATTTAAGTCATGTAAGAGTCTCACTGTACGGCATTTTGGGCATAACCACAGAAAGCATCGGGAGGTGTTCGAGTGCCATTTTAAAAGGAAGCTATTTTTCGTTTTATCATAAAGGGAAAAATCTGTCATATTTCCAGGATTAGTTTGGTTTTTAAAAACTGCACATATAATGTTAATATACTGAACAGTAATGTAACACGTTGCCCTGACCATGACACAGAGTGACCGTGTTCTTGTGTGCCATTTCCCAGGCATTTGGCATGGGATCCTGGAGTGGATTGGAGTCTTGGCAGTCATTACCAATGCCTTTGTCATCGCCATCACCTCTGACTACATCCCCCGCTTTGTATATGCCTTCAAGTATGGCCCCTGTGTGGACAAGGGCTACAGACACGAGAAGTATGCAAAGCTCTATTTGGTGTTTCCCTGTCCAATAGCGCCACCCTGTGTCCACACAGAACAACTGATTTTTTTTTTCAAGCTTCTAACTAGCTGGAGAACATTTACAGAGGGTTTTCCTAAATGCCATATTTCTTCTGAGAAAACAGCCTCAGCAAGATTTGAGTAAAACATGAACTTCCCTTGCTAATCTGCATTTGTATGAACCTGGAGCAACATACTAGAACTGCACTCTAAAACATGTAAGAAAACCACACATTTTGAGGTCAGTTTTTCCTCAAATTTTCCTCAAATCAGAATTCCACCAGTATTATTGTGGCACTGTATGCTACTCCAGTTACTAATATCTGAGTCACTTACTCCATTTTTTTCTAAACTGATTTCCACAAAATATTTTTTTTTCTTTTGTTGAACTACTTTATACTAATTTAATTTAATGGTTTTTTGCTTCATACTGTTTTGTTGCTGCCCTTAGTGACTGTATTTTACTTATTTCTTTGTGGTCTCTTTTTGTGTACATGTGTTTTATTAATTTGTTGCATCTTTTGTGCTTCATGGGCATATTTATCTTTGCCTGTATGTAGCATTTTAATTATCAACAAAATAAATCCAGTGACATTTTTTTTTCCCATATGTTTCCCGATATTTATATATGGAATTTCAAAAATTGCTTATATATTAAATTTGGTTTATTAATCCCTTTAGATAGAGGGATTAGTGGTCTGAACAATCTTCATTGGTTGGGCTCTCGACAATTTCAGTCATATTTAACTTTTTTAATTTTCATGTTATTTTCTCTTCATGCTGTTTTGAGCCCACAGAACTTTCTAACAAATCTAAAAATAAATAGCTGCTTCCCATCCTTGCCATCCTCACTGACAGTGAAGGTTTCCCTGGCTGACTGTGTCTCTGGTCCCTAGGTGCTTACGTGGCTATGTGAACAGCAGCTTGTCAGTCTTTGACATGGGGGATTCTGATAAAGGGCCCAGATACTGCAGGTAGGCACTGGTACCCAAGGTTGGCGGAGTGTGTGTATGCATGTGGGTTGGGGCTGTGGGGATTCCATTGCTAACTCCTCCTCAGTACAGCACTTAATATGAATTATTTCTATAAATACGAAACTGCAGAACTGGGTCATCGGTGGTTTTACATTGAAATGTGTTCTTTTGTGACCTCAAAAATTTCCCGCTGCCACTATTTTGAGCTTGAAAAACGCAAAAAATGTTTGCATTGTTTAAGCATGGGCACTCTGGGAGGGATTTCCAGGGGTAATGTGTGATTGGTTTGGTTGTTGTGCTGATGCTTCTGAGACTGGGTCCATGCTGTAACCCAGTACCTCCTGGAATTATATGACCCTAATTACTCAAAAATAGAATAAATAAATAGAATTGCACATTGCTTTGTATATTTTTAGCATCTGACAAATAAATGGATTAGTTGGACATTCAGACAAGAACAAAATCAGATCTTCCCCCACTGCTCCTTGCCGGAATACTGATAGCTGTAGGTGATTCTGCACTAATTACAGGGCTTAATTAACCTGTTCTTCCCGTCTTCTCATTGCCAGGCATTAGTTACTGCTGTGTGTTTGTTCCTCCCGCTTTTCCTAGAGTAATTGATTACTGTCCTGTATGGCTTGGCCTATCTACCCATCCCAGTTTCCAGCCCAGTAAATGTGTAATCCTTCCCCCCTCTTAAAGCGAGTGTGTGTTCCACTTTCCCTGCATCTGCTTGTCTGGTTGCCTTACAGTGCCCCCCCCCCTCCCTCCCCCCTAGAATCGACCTACCAGCTTTTTGACCCCATGACTCCTGACTTTTGTGTTTTGCTACCTGTTTGCTCAGCATCTGTATCCTCAGTTCTCATGTGGCATCGTTACACAAAGCAAGCAGAGGATTTTGAAAGTGAGTTTCCTGGTTGGGTGCCTGGTAACGAGACACCTACAGGGGCCTGGTCATCCTCTGTATTCCTTTGCAGGTACCGGGACTACAGAGCACCCCCTTGGAACCCGGAACCCTATGAATTCACTCTGCAGTTCTGGCACGTTCTGGCTGCCAGGCTGGCCTTCATCATTGTCTTTGAGGTCAGGCCTCCACGCTCCACCTACAGGCCGCAGTGCTGCATTACAACTTCCTAAGAGCATGTAATAAGCTTAGATTAGATTAGAAGTTGTGCAGTGCATTGCTATCAGCCCCAGTGTGTGCCCCTGCCTTGTGTCCTTCCTGAGATAGGCTTGCTGTGACCTTGTACTGTATAAACAATTACAGAAAATGGATGGATGGATGGATGGATGGATGGATAGAGGCAGCATGGTGGCACAGTAGTTAGCACTGTTGCCTGTCTTGCCCCCATAGCTTCCAGGATAGGCTCCAGACCCCCCCCCACAACCCTGAATAGGACAGGCAGTTACAGAGCATGGAAGGGTGGATATTAGATTTCTTACAAAGGAAATACATAGCATTTTATATATACAGGAAATTAGTATCAAAATATTATTTGCTTGATTTGTGCTTTTATTTAATGGAGATATAACAGAAAAAAAAGTTGTGCAATGCAATGAACGATGTACACTATATATATACTGTGAGACAGGCCTGTGACCCTGCACTGGATGCAAGATAGATGGACTGATGTGATAACAGCTATTACGCTGTGAAGTCAACATACAAACCTGACCTAAGATGAAGCAAATAGTAAGGTTGTGTCTGTGAAGAAGATGTACATTGTGGAAAACGTATGATTTCATCTACATTATATACAACTTTGGTCAGCTCACTTCTAAAATAGTACTACTCCTTTCAAGTTCATTCTGTGAAGAACAAAGAGAGATATTCCTGGTTTTAAAAGGTTACCGTTGAAGGACAGGTTAAATGCCTTAAATGTACTGGATGTACGACGTTTTATCAGAGGGGACTCATTGTCCAGGAATAAGCAAGGTTAGTTTTATTTATAGACTGTTACTGCTAATTTAAGACAAGGAGACCATTGTAGTTTAGAAGAAAGAAAACATTTCTTAACACAAAGGCTAGAGCTGTGTTAAACGGCATAGTGGTATCTTGAGGGACAGCTCTTACTTCCATTCTTGACAGATGCTGTGTAGTTATCCCAATTGCATTGCGCCAAACAGTATCTTCCTTTCATAAGATTTTTGTTACTTTATTCTTAGAAAAAACAGCTGCAATGTGGAGTGTTGCACAATGCAGTAACAGACGTGCAGCTGGTTCATTCTAACAAGGCTGTCTGCGATTGATCCTTTAGCATCTGGTCTTCGGCATCAAGTCGTTCATCGCCTACCTGATTCCCGACATGCCCAAGGACCTATGCGACCGCATGCGGCGAGAGAAGTACCTGATGCAGGAGATGATGTACGAGGCCGAGCTGGAACACCTGCAGAAGCAGAGGAAGAAGAACGGCAAGCGTTATCACCACGAGTGGCCTTAGCCCCCCCGATCCCCCTCCCGAAATGCGTTACTGTGGTGCGGGGGGTGGCTGTCTTTGCCTCGCTGAATTTGCACCAGTGAGGCAATTCTCTGTCATCTTGGCTAAAGACAGACCCAACCTTGCACACGCCTATGTCCATGGCTTCCACTTCCAGAACTGAGAGTCAGCGCTCATTTTTGGTCCTTTCTATGCTAGCCCCCCACCTCAGCTTAGTCTGACAGGGTCCTGTCATGCCTGTGCGCCGTCTGCACTTTGAAGGAGACCTCACGCAATTGTAATGTTTACTATGCAGATCAAGGGCTGTTAGATCATTGCTCCCTTCACATGTCGATTCTATTTCAAGTTGCTTTGCCCAAATCAGCCCAGATCAGTACTTCATGCCTAACAGCCCCTTGTGCCGCCCATGGATAATGACATGGACACCGGTTATAGTTATTCTCACTAAACAGCCCATGTCACTTGCCTATGAAAAATACCCTCATAGCTTCTTACTTATTCTGTATATTGTCCTGGAAAGCATGCCGATGTACAGTTTACGGTGATTTTTGTAAATGAGAAGCAGTGGCAGTCATTACAAATTACAATTTAATGCATGACATATATCCTACTGACCCTCTGCCCCATTTCCACATTATAGTGCTGGATAGATGCTACTCCTTCTGCTGCTGTAAATAACTGGTTGTCCACTGGTTCCTGAGTTGCAATTCTAACGCAGGTCTTTCTGTGTGTGTGAGTATAAGCAGCTTTTGCAATCTTGTGAGGATCTTTTCGTTCCTGTCATGTGGTGACAAAACACAGTCTTCACAAGATAAATGCCTTTTTTTCATAACTTTTAGTAGGTTATCAATTTTCATCTCAGTTGGTGGTTTGGTATTAAGTTCAGTTAATTCTGGTAAAGTTATATTTAATGGGAAGTCCCCACAAATGTAGCTATACATCAACATATGGGTTTATATATGTATGGGGTGACTGCAAACAACCTAAAGGGTACGTTTACGTTTCGTCTGCATTTGTTTGCTGTGGTATTTCCTCAAGAGACAGATTCTAAGAAGAAGGGATGTAATATTCCAGAGATGATTCCCACCATATCGGGGCACTAACATATAGCTTTGCCTTCTTTTTGTTTCCATGAATTTGCTATCTGACATGGGAAGTCGACCGAACGAAACTATAGAAGACAGCATCTGTCTTGGCTTAGAAAAGGCGAAGCGAGGACCCATGTAGGAAATGTGTTGCCCATATATTTATTTACTGTTTTAGGCAGAACAGCCCATAAAAAGGTGAAAAGCACAATGTTCAATTAGGACAGGACTCTGATATGCATTAACAGCTGAGACAAGCAGAAATTTCATTATGTGTACCAAATGTAAATCACCTTACACTATTGACACTTAAGATAACTTCTGGTTACATTTATATTTTGTAGTCCACCTGGGGCTATTTTTGAGGGTGTGTATGCACAGCTTAGTCAAGTAGTTTTGGAGGTCTGGTGACTCAATATGATTAGTTTTTAATAGTTATCATTGTAATGTGAAAGGACCAGTGGGTTGTGGGTTCCGACCCACACAGAGCCCAAGCTGTCTAATACTCTATGCACCCTGGAGTGGAACTACAATTTACCTTGGATAATTGGTTACTGAATATGGATAGATATTCAAACAGTATTGATGCATTTTAGCGACTTCTACAATCACAATAAAATAATTTATGAAATCAGCAATATACTGTAAAGGTATTTACATGTCTGCTGAGCTGCTCAGATCACTGCTTTACATCCCTGAACTAAATTTTGAAATGTTATGGTGAGAAGGGAAGAAGCTAAACAAGAAAAATGTAGACGTCACACAAATAGCTAGGATAAAATAAATACACCAATATTATACATTTAAAATTATTTATATTTATGCCATGTATATCATATATAAATGCTTTATGTGTTTGACAATAATGCCTATCAGATGAAAGATCTACCTTCTCAAACACTTTCATCAGCTAAGGCTAGTCATTGCTGCTATAATTAGGCTATACAATGCTCAATGCTTGCACCATATATGAAACTATCCTTATCTCATAAATATTTTACAAATTAAAATATCATTTCAAAGTCATAGGTGGCTTATTTTGAAGATTAGAAGCTTCTTTGCGATTTGGACATAATTTTATATTTTCATGTGTTTTGCATTTCTCTGATTGTATTATTGTGTGCTTTGATTACCGTATTAGTGGATATACTTTATAATTTTTTAATTCACATTAAATGATTCATGCCTAGCTGATGATGGGCTGAGTGCTTTAACCAATCTTGCTTGCAATAAGGTTACATAAATGTCTTATGTTAATTCTTGGTTTATATTGCAATTTTGTTTTACATTGGCTATAGTACAGCATTAAATCTATATACCATACCTTGAGTAAACTGATTGTCCAACATGCAGTATACTAAGGAGCACTAAAATATGTAACTTGTAGGCCACAATTCTACAACTGTCATATAATTTCTTTCAGCACAAATGCAAAATTCTCTCTGTACAATGTTTTCCCTTCTAGAACTGTGTATCTGCACCCAGGGGCGCCGTAAGGGGGAGGAAAGCTAGGACGATTGAAATGTTATGGTGAGAAGGGAAGAAGCTAAACAAGACAAATGTAGACGTCACACAAATAGCTAGGATAAAATAAATACACCAATATTATACATTTAAAATTATTTATATAATAATTTCCTAAAAATTCCCTAAAAAATTAGGAAAATAACTGGATTGGTTTGGACTGGGGGGCCTAATATGATATGCTTTCATGGGGCCCAAAATCTCTAGCGGCGCCCCTGTCTGCACCTGTCAGGACAGCAAGGGAATCAAGTTTTTGAGATCGGTATTCCTAGTTAAGAACATAAGAAATTTACAAACGAGAGGGGACCATTCGGCCCATGAAGCTCGTTTAAGTTAAGTTATTCGCAGTTTATTGGTGGTAGTTAAGAAACTTAAAATCATTTCAAATGCGAAATTCAAATATCCGAGCGAAAAGACTGGAATCTGAGCGAGAGGCTTGACCGGTGACAAAAGTATCAGCCTGTTCTGGGTACTGAGCAGCTTGTATTCGCTTTAGACTTATAAACCATTTATGTCTGGAATTAAAAAAAAATCGGACAGCGGTTACGGATACGGGGGTCCCACTGTTTACTGCAAACCAGGGAAAAAATTCGAAAATATGATCAGCGGACATTTTAAGATAAACAGAGGGAATTTTGTCACGCAAACATAGTTGCGAATTTTGCCTTAAGGGTTAGTGGGGAAATGTGTTCTACAAGTTATTCTGTTAGCGCTTGTAATGCGACTGCATGCCACTGGTTTCTTTTCAGATGCGGGTGTTATTACAATGGCAGCGTATCCTTTTCTGTTATTTATATGCATTTCAGGAGTGCTGCATGGCGGTCATATGCACCATGTACTGTACGCTGACATCCGTGTACCTACGTGTTTTACTGTCTGCCTGTCCTTGCAACTGCTTTTCTCAGGTGTCCTATGAGCCTTTCAGGGTGATCACTTTTCACTCTTTTCTTTAATGTGAACGACAAAGACATTCTGCTTTTCAGAAAATATTTTTGCACTCAACGTTTGCATGGAGATTATGTTAATTGTGACGCATGATGTAGCCGGTTATATCTATAACACTGCCTGCAGTTAAATTACAGTGTGTCGCGGTTTTCAAACGCCATGCTGGACTTAAAAACATTTTCAAAAACAATGTCGAAGCTTTAAGAAATGAAAGACATGAAAATATATATTTATATTTATTCTTTTCACGTTGATTGTTTTGTGAAAAATAGCACATTTGAATATGCAAGCATTTTGAGCCTATCATAATATGAACAACTGCCTTTTCAATATTCTGCTTGAAGTCTCCATTCTATCATTAATTTAATAAAAATCTCCACATTTTCTTTTAATGGGATAAGCCTGAGTCACTTTGGCATGATAGGCTATGGAAGAAAGTACGTACAGATGACTTTCAGCCTTACAACTGATTATTAATCAAAGTAAAAACAGAAAAAAATAAACTATAGCTACATAAAATTAATCTGATTTGTAAGATCCTTAAAATTTGTATGTGCTGTTTTTTTTTTAACGATTTTGTAAAGTCATCTAAGTAACATCGAAAATGTTTACAAACGAGCTTGACCAAAGTTTTTCCTTCACATAGGTAAACATTTAATCTTCTACATTCTTATTTCAGAGGGATGATATTATAATGTAGGCTAAATGTGGTTTAGTTGCAAATTAGGTTTTTCTGTTGTAACAGGAAAGCATCTTAGAAATAAAGCAGTTGTTTTTCAATGTTTTCCAAGGCCCTTCACAGAGTCATACAGTACAGCACACAGGAGTGGACACCCACATCTAGTGTGGATCCAATCCCTTCATTACGCTCTGAGTGTGAGTGCTGTGTTAGTTTCCCCTCTGATATTTTCACAGCAGTACCTCTACACAAGGTGAAGTCAGATCATGTATTAACAGACTCTTTGTGAAGATGCATTTTCCACACTCTGGGGGGCAGGGGTTACTGTTCTGACCTGCAGTAATGGCCTTGTGCTTTTCACAAAGTGAGTAGTGAAGCCCCCCGGTTGTACCAGGATGGGAATCACTCTGGGCTGGTGCAGAAGCCGCTGCAAAGGAAGACACAGCAGACTAGGTCTGGCAGTACAAAGTCTAACTGAGACTGTCTAACTGAGACTGTCTAACTGAGACTTCTGCTTTTAAAGACTTCTGGTTGTTTGTTTACTTCACCCGTGTTTACATTTGGAACATGTAACAAATATATGTATATGAACTTATCTGCGAGAAATAAATTTGAATATCACATTTTTTTCTGTAATAAATCAGCAATTCTATCTTTTAAGTAGTATGGCTGATTTTTTTAAGTACTAGTTTGGTGTATTTATGTACATAACTTGTACAATATGTTTGAAAAGGACAGTCTGAGGTCACTATGCAAACTTTTAATGCCACTCACACTGCTCTGCTCTATTCACTGTATACATTGAAAATAGACTGATATTCCGCCAGGGCAGGACTGGGGTGATAAACCTGCCCTGGACTTTGTGGATCCCATGGTAAATTTTGCCGGCCTACTTACCCACCGGGCTGAATATGTCAGATGCTTAGTCCAGCCCTGTACACTGTCCTTCATCGCTCTTGTGAGGTATTTTCCCATCTTCATAATATTTATTCTGATTGGTGTTGCTGTAAAATGGTTTTGGTGTTGACAGAGCCGCATGTAACTGCTTCCTTTTAAACGGGATTCTGAGCTGGATTGGTGAATGTGTGCCATTAACTCATTTAGCATTTAGTTTTTTTATGAAACTCTCTGACCCTTCAAACCTGGCTCATTTTTTTCTAACTTTCGGAATACTTGTCATTTTTTTTCTATTGGGTTGAATGAAGTTCAATTAACCAAGCCACCTTGTTATTGTTAAATGACTTTAATGCTTAGAAGAGTGAGTCCTGACTTTTTTTGTGCCACAGTCTTACAGGCTTACTTCATCAGGCATCTCTGAAATTAACATTTCAAGAAAGAACACAGAACATCCTCCCTCTTACCAACTTGTAACAGGTTAATAAACAAAATTACTGACAGTTTTCTTTTTGCAATTTGATAAAAGAGTGACTGACTCCAGGGATAAAAGCATAGTATATGACACTGATGTCCTTCTCATGAGTGATACAAAGTATTATCTTATTAGCTAATAGTAAAAAAAAAAAAAACTATGTAAGTTAAAGTAAAATATATTCAGAGTTAGTACAGTTTCCACCGTGTTTTTGTCTTTCCTTTCACTCTAACAAACAATAAAAAAGCATAGAGGTTTCCATAATCTTCTGAACATTGGAAGAAACCCACAAGTAGGAATTGAATGTGTGACCCAGCCTACACCAAGATATCGAAAATAACTCATCCCTCAGAAAGCAAGCAGAGACCTGGACCATCAGGAGCGCCACAGGGAGGAGAACAAGGGCTCAATCCAGCTCTCTGCGTAACGGTGCGTTTCAGTGCATCTGCAGTAGAGCACTGGTGTCATTGCCGCTCATTGTTTAATGTGAAGGCATCGCTACAGCCGTGAGAACCGCATGCATTGCAGGTGAAGTTTGGACAGTGATACTTTAAGACTGTAGAGAGGCTTTTTCAGCTCATTACCTAGCTAATCAAGTAACATCACTCTTACAACTTCTTTGTTAATCGGTACTGTCTAGAATATTTTAAATGTATTGCTGTTTTGGTAAACAATCTATTTTATACTTAATTACACGTTTTTAACTGAAATAATACAGGTTAGGGTCATAGTGAATTCACTGTTGACACCTAAATAGAAATATGCTGTATTTAGCACTGCATTTATGGCAACATGGAATGCTTATTATGCTTCATATATAAATTTAGACTCCAACATAATATTGCTACTGTGGTGTTAAATGTTTTTGTATTTTTATGTGGTTTGTGTACTTTTAAAAATGTTTGCTTCTTTATCCCTTATAGGTATAAACCTCAAGGCTTTTGTTCAAGATATAATGCAAGAGAGAATGAATAGGGATTCACTATGGCTCTTTGCTGAGTAGATAAATGAATAGGGATTCACTATGGCTCTTTGCTGAGTAGATAAATGAATAGGGATTCACTATGGCTCTTTGCTGAGTAGATAAATGAATAGGGATTCACTATGGCTCTTTGCTGAGTAGATAAATGAATAGGGATTCATCTGCTTTGATTGAGAAGACTACTCCAGCAATGACTTTCATGTTGGTGGATAGGGAAATGGGGGGGGGGGGGGGGGTCTCTCTAATGCCAAGATGGTCCTGGCTTCTTCACTACAGAGGGATGAAGATATGTGGATTTTACTTGGCCTTTTATCTTTAAAGGACTGTTCTTCATTGTAATGTGGGTGAAATAAATTACTGCATTGTGTCTTTTCATTATAACTGTGTTGGGGACATTAACAAAAACCTTATTCATCAAGCGAAAACATAGTGAACACACACAATCAAAGGAAAATGTGTCTGGGGCCGCTGTCTCCAAATGTTTGTACACGGTTATATTCCCAATACCGCACCTTATCTATACGCCAACTGCAAAAAAAAAATCTTGATTGATTTACCAAACCAAAAAGCAGGCAAAGTGTTGCGTGAAACAGAATCCATTTAAATGCACCCTATACATATTATTTTATAACATTTTAGAAAACCAGAGAAAAATACAAAATTCTTCACAATCCCGTTTTGCTTAAAGATCTAAAATGCCAAAGTCCATATTTACACACACAAAAGAGGATTGTTCAGTTTCGTACATTTTCTCAGAAAAGCACATTGTTTATGAAAAGTATTACAAACATTTCCTTTTCATCAACACGCCCTGCATTTACCACATTTAGAACGTTTTCTTTGAACGTTTTCTGACCTGTTATGCACGGCATTTCACGATGATCAGCGTAAGTTTAGACTTTCTCAAGTTGTCCTTAAACGGTCATAAATATGCTTTTACAGAAAAACAATCCATCCGTCAATCCATTCCAAGCACGTACAAAAATTACAACTGCAATAAAATAAATGATCCAGCCGTTGACGGCTTGTTATTACACCCGTATTAATACAAACGTGCTTGAAACAAGCAGAAAATGAGATCTGGAATGTTATTTGCAGCGTTTTTGTTTCCTATCTAGCAACACACCCCAGATAATTAGTGATACAGTTAGACGGTGAAAATTGAGCTGTTTCCCAAAGTTTTAAAGCAGGCACCACCAGAAGACAAGGAGGGACGCCAACGTCCCCAGTAAGGGCTTAGAGATCATGGTGGCGGGACTGCCATTGCACAAGTTATTACTGCAGCAACTGAAGGAGAAGGAAGACACCGCAGGAAACATCTGAGACAGCCGAGCATTTTCACAGTCCGTGTGCCGGATGCACTGGCGGATAATCTTCCCTCCTGCACCACGGATAAATGAAATATCGTGAAACTTCCAAAGCACGACCGAGTTAACATCATGTTATTGTTTCAACGTTGAATTATAGTTAAATGCGTTGAATTATGGTCAGTGTTAAACTATCAACGTTGAAACTGAATTGATCTTTGGTCAGATTTTCAATATTGAAAAATCGATGGTGGCAAAACCTTGATTCAATGTTGATATAAAGTGAAAGATTGAAGATCAGCGTTGTTTCAACCTCTTAATTGTCTGATATGGAATCAGTGTCATTTCAACATATGTGTGCCATCTGGGGAATAATGACTGATGTGCTTAAAATTCACCTGTATTCACGCGTCTAGATATTCTGAGGAATAAAGTACGTTTAACAAAGTACCTCTTTCAAATAACTGAAGACAAGCATCCTCATAGCTGCAGTCCTGAACATTAGTGCATTTTCCAGAGTAATTGGTGCATCTATAGCAACGGAGTGCAGAGCCTAAAGGAAAAAGGTTCATTAGGCGCAACAAGTAACCATATAAATGCCTATATACATTTGTGCACACAGGAAGAAGCGTGATAAAAATACAATGGCAAAATTACTCCAGCTATTTTTTTATTCAATGCAATTTAAAATTGGTCATTTCAAGTGTGCGAATTCGTGGAAGTAATACATTTGTTTCATCGGTAATATTCTTACCCAGGCTGAAAATCGCAAAACAGAAAACCAAGCCTGTTCCCAGAGAAGCCTTCATTTTTAACGTTATCCCTATATATGCAGAAACAACGGTCAACAGCTGCAACGAGACGTGAGCGCGCAAGAGGATGGTATATTTAATAGGCCCACACATTTAACGCTCCACAAAGAATTAATAATGTGATCATTAGCATGAAATAAAAAAAATTTAAAAAGTAAATAAATCTGTAACTGACAACATATTTATAGTTGTATATGCTCTTTTACCTTTTCAGATATTTATCTTTATAGATTAACAAAAATATTTTAATATAGATGTGCAAATCTATTTCTATCTCATAAAATCACAATACTACTCACCAAGTTCACAGTCAGTTCACGAAACCCGAAGTGATTTTACTTCACTGAAATATTACATTTTCTCTCGTGATGTCACCCTTAATCCCACCCCCGTCAAGCAGGATTCGCTTTTATATTCATGTCCAGAATCAGCTACTATATCAATATTTTAATTAGCTATATATCACGATTAGCAACACATACATATTATTTAAATGGGTACAATGTGGAACACTTGGTACACAGTATAGCTTGCTATCTGAAAATAGCCCCAGAGTGCACCAGCTAATGATTTTGTTATAAGACTAATTAATTAAGTAGACTGGCATGCTAATTACATTATAATCGTGCAAACAGTAGTTAAACATGACCAAAAGAAAAAATCCCAAAGCAGCGAACAAAGAATAAAATGCAGTTAAATTGGTCAAATTCATCTGACTCAAATAACACCTCAATGAGGGGAGATAATCACAAAGAAGATAAAACCAAGCCTGTCCCCAGATTATGTTTAGATATATTTATATGTTTGAATGTCTTTTGAACCCTTTTGTTTTGTTTGTTTTTTGTTGTTTACTTGTTTGTTTTATATGTTTACTAAAACAGTGACAGTGCAAAATAAAATATTCACCTCGCATAAGCTTCTCTTGATTTGTAATGATAGATAAAATAGAATACAGTAACTGTCATGCAATGATGCCATCAGAAATGATTCTGTTTTAGGGACATTTTTTAAAGAGATTTTACAAATGTGTAACTGCAAAAGGACATACGTTGTTATTATCTGCCAAAATGACTGTGATTTTAACAGGATCTCACCTCCTGTTTTTATTCACTTACTAAATTTGCTTATTCTCTTTTCTCCCCTCATTTGTGTTTATTTGTTGTCATTCTCTGTTACTTCTTTCTGCAAGAAAGGATCTTTGCTAAATCAATTATCGATCTTTCCAATGGCTTATCCAATATGCATGAGGTTGAAATGTTATTTATGATAGGCCTGCAAATATTTTAAATAGATCCATTTCAGTTTCAGGGCTTTCTTCCTGTAGGTTAAATGGTCACTTTGTTAGCTGGTTCATGGTAGCAAGTTTGCTTGTTATAAACGAATTGGGTAGAGAACACAGAAAACAAGTATGATTGCATCAATTTGCTATGTGCAGCTGGACACAACAAAGGAAATATTGTTTCCTTGCCTTGTATTTTGTGACCTGCCAGACATCTGACGAACAAATAGGACTTCTATAACAGCGTCTCACATAATAGTTTAGTGTTTTAAGAAAGTTACATTACAAATGATAGCACATTAATTATTAAATGATTGATTAAAATGCATTTTTCCTTTAAACATGTTGTTGTTGTTAAAGATGTGCTGTTAAATGTCTTGAGTATTTATGGTGCGCACTGAGTTATTACAAATGTTGGATTTGTGTAGGGTCAAGCTTAGAAAATAACTGCAGACACCCATTTGCACAGCTCAGACTACACTGCTGAAGAATCGCGAGGAAGCTTTTCTGGAGCAAGTCTTTGCTCACACCTATTGATGTTTCGCTGCAAGCCTGGCTAAACAATGAACCAATCACTGGACCACAACAAAGGGCGTTTGAATTCATGCTGGCAGCATTTGTGCGATCTCCAAGCTGTACATAAAGAGCAGTTGTACGTTAGGTCTTGCTACAGAAGATCAGTTGTTTTACAAGAATAAATAATACTTAAATCACACTTGTGCAAAGTAAAATGATTTAACTGTGTGGTGACTTTTAAGAAAGCCTGTAGTTATTGGGCAAAATAGGAACTACAAACTTTGGAAGGATTATTGAATCCTGAGGCTTATTCAAAAGTTATTATGGGTTCTCTTGGATTAATACTATATTTAGGACTATGTATGGATAAAGTATCATCTTTTTTAAAATAAACAATGAGAATTGTATTCAGGAATAAAATAATGTTGCCCAAGAAATATATTCCCAATACAAGTAGTAGACAAAGCAGTTTTAAAATGGGCTTTATTTAGCCCTGGACAGAACAAGTGAATGGAACATATAATGAAAGATGTACTCAGCCATCTTTGGTGAGCCTGGAAATTTGAACAGGAAGCACAGGGTAAAAGGCAGGGCTGGTTCCAGTCCAACGCAGAGCTACCCAATGAGCCAGACCACTAAACTTTTACTCACTGAACCAAGAGTAGTTCGAAAAAGGTCCAAAAGCATTTTGTCTTTGTCCTGAGGTCCTGGTAAATTCTAGAACCAATGGATGGCCAGATGTGGCATATCATGTTTATCCACGCACACTACATCAGAAGCTCTTTTTGCAGTGGCACATCCTTCCACGCATACTACATCAGAAGCTCTTTTTGCAGTGGCACATCCTTCCACGCACACTGCATCAGAAGCTCTTTTTGCAGTGGCACATCCTTCCACGCACACTACATCAGAAGCTCTTTTTGCAGTGGCACATCCTTCCACACACACTGCATCAGAAGCTCTTTTTGCAGTGGCACATCCTTCCACACACACTGCATCAGAAGCTCTTTTTGCAGTGGCACATCCTTCCACAAACACTGCATCTGAAGCTCTTTTTGCAGTGGCACATGCTTCCTGGCTTGACCAGCAGGGTTTCCTTCTTTCTCCAGCCTCCTCCGATTCAGCCTCCAGCGATATTCTCCAGATTTTTCTTGAACTCCCACAGGTCCACTCCCTCTACAGATTCTATTTTAGTGACTGGATCTGATTGTTAAGTGCATCCTTCTGAATGAAAACAACAAAAGAATTTATATGGACCACTGGAGGTGTGCCAGTTACAGAGAAAACTGTAAACCAGCCTGTCCTGATTTATGGCTTTTAAGAAAAGTGTTAAATAATACATTAAAATCTCCCTCCTGGACACTCAGATCCTACACCAGAAAACTACACCAAAATATATCACAGCATCTTTCTCTCTTTCTCTTTGATGTTGATTTCAAGGTCAAGGAGATCCAGGGATGACAGGGGTCCATGTGGTAGATTATATAAGTATCCCTGAGGATTCTTGCAAAACTCACTTGCTGCTACATGTGAAATGAGCTGTTTTCAAATCCACACCGCAAAACTTTTACTTTTTTACTTGCAAAAATAAACATCTCAAAAGTTATGGCGCCTGTGCAGCTATGAAGAGAAATTAATAAAATGTCAAAAAGCCTTAATTACTATGTTTTGTCGAGAGAAATGCCAGTTTAACATCATAAAGCAGATAGTGTCTTATCCAGGGGTGCTGCTGGAGATTTGGGCCCCATGAAAGTGTAACCACCCCCCGAACCCAGATCAATCCAATTACGTTCCAGGTTTTTTAGGGCCCCTGTCACTGAGGCCTTGGAATCGTACTACCTCAGTCCCCCATTCCCTCCCCACCCCCGTTTAGGGTGCCTCTGTTCTTATAACTAAATTCGGTGTAGTAACGTCATGTCAAGTTTTCCGCTTTAAGGTTGAATTTCTTTCGTTGTCCTCTAGATGGCAGCAAAGTCATCATAAATCCTCCCAGTTGTAAATCCTTCTTGGCAGTTTCAGTTGGAATAATACAAATTAAACACGGACAGGGGCTACAGTAAGGAAAAATAATATTACCTGTTTATCGGTTATTATATAAATCTTCCACATGTTCACACTTTCACTTGCTAATCAATAGCATGCAATGAAAACAGAAGACGCAAAGTCAGTTTACGTAGGAATCGCCTGGCATCTTTCAAGCTGTTCTCTCTCTCTATCAATTTATTAAGATGCATCATGTGTAGTAGTTGTCTGGATGCGTGGATGTTACTGTAATCTAAGGCAAACATCACAGAGGTTATTTTTCTTGATTAAACAGCACTGTTCTATTAATATTTATTTTCATTCATATTGAAAGCAAAAATGATTAATTCAGTACATCATCAATGTTACTGCAATTTTCAAAATGAAGTCGAAAATGTTTGTGGGAATGTATCTAAATATTTTTAAATGGCTTTTGTCTGGTCAGGGTCAGAGGTGGGGGCAGGAGGATTGGAGAGTTTCCCAGGCAACACTCCTCACAGGATTCACATTAGAACAGAATGTACAGTGTTTCAAAATGAAGTGGTTGGTCTGAGGAACATGCTGGATGGGATGCCAGTTCATCACAGGGCACATGCATAGACATCACACACAAAAAATATTACATACTCTGTGGATAATTTAGAGACACTAGTTAGTCTAACTTCATGTCTTTGCACTTTGGGAAGACACTGGACGACCCAGAGTAACCCCATATACCATGGAGAGCGCATGTAAATTCATCTTGCATTCACACAGAGCTGGTGCAAGGCTACAGTATCACCCACTAAGCCAATGCGCCTCATTGTATGCATGCACAGTAACAGTCAACAGCCTGGACACACCTGCTTTTAATGCATTTGTCTCTAATGCCATCCATCCATTTTCTGTAACCGCTTATCCTATTCAGGGTCATGGGGGGTCCAGAGCCTATTCCGGAGACTACGGCACACGGCAGGGAACAACCCGGGATGAGGCGCCAACCCAATGCAGGCCAGACTCACACACCATTCACTAACACAAGAACACCTACAAGCAGTTTGGCAACTACAATTAACCTCAGCATGTTTTTGGACCATGGGAGGAACCTGAAGTACCTGGAGGAAACCCTACAGCGACACAGAGAGAACATGCAAAGTCCACACACACAGAGCCATGATGGAGACTTAAACTCTGGCCCCAGAGGTAGGAGGCAACAGTGCAAACCACTGTGTCCCCATCACTATTTAGCTGTTACTCACTTTATAGTTAAAGTTCTCAAGTCAATGAAGACATATCAAATGCAATAACAACCAAGAGAACTGTTCAACACTGAGAACAATGTTCTCAAGTTTTATTCTTCAAAATAGCCCCCTTCAATGACAGCCTTGCAGACTCTTGCCATTCTTTCAACCAGTTTCCACATATAGTCGCCCAGAATGCTTCTCCAACAGTCCTGAAGGAGATCCCACAAGTTGGTTGACTTACTTTTAGTCTTAGATCCAACTCATCCTAAACCAGCTCAGGAGTCTTAAAAATATATATTAAACACAGTTAATCACTTTTCATATGCTTCAACAAAATTTGCACTGTATAACACGCCTTATTGCTTGGGTGTCTTGTGAAAAAGCAGAACTTCATAAAGAGAGTCCATCTGTTCTGTGTGTTCCACAACTCCAGCCATTTCTCCATTTGCAGCCTGTTGTATGTGTTCACGAGTTCTTAGCTAGTGAATCGACATAGTGAGTATGTCTGTCCTAGTCTTTCACGAAGACTCTCCTAAGAGTTCTTACGCTGCGGGATTTAATGTGGGTAGTGTCAGACTACTTGTTAAAAGTAGAGACAAAAGTTAGTGCAATTACACAAAACTACTCTAATATACGTCAGTGCTTTCTCTAGATTTAGGTGGTGCACTATGCATGAGGTGGGGGGTTTCCATGGAAACCATGCATGTCTCATTTGCTTTTTTTATTTTTAGCTGAAAATTTGGAGGATTTTATTAAGGTTTATATAAACAGTAAATGAGAGGAAATCTCTGCCTATAAAGTACAAATTTCCTTAAACATCAGTTCATTCTGAACGAACTGGGTGCCTGTCTTTCTCTCTTTGTATTTATAAGTAATGAATTATCTAAGTAAAACAAATGTCACTCAAATGTAAGCACTCATACCTGGAATCTGGATCATTGCTCCTGTATGTATGAGGTTTTCCACCCGATCTTCCCATAACTAACAGCATTTCATTGTGTGTGTGTGTGCGTGTGTGTGTGTGTGTGTGTGTGTGATTTACGAAATTAAGGTGAGAGAGAAGTTTTATTCAGGGATGATACATTTGTTATTATTACAGATCAATATCTCTGCCAAATGTGTTGTGGTAAAATTGCACATTAGGCTCCATATGTAAATCAAACCATACTTTTAGGAAAAACTATATAAAGGATTTTTTTATTATATGGATGGATGGATGGATGGATGTTACATTAAGTGCCCAAATGTTATCCATATATTCATTCATTCATTCATTCATTCACTGTACCACTTGTGCTGTACAGGGTCGCATAGGTCCAGAGCTTATCCCGGAAACATCCAGCGCAAGGTAGAAAACAACCCATATGTGGTAAATATAAACCATAAGTATATATTTTATTTATTAAAATTTAATTGAACAGTAAGAACATCAAGCCGGTTATAGTCCTTAATGCAGAAAGATTAATGGCCAGGCAGCCAGTAAATACCAAAATTCTACAGCACGCCTGAATCTCACCCAGTTTTACCAACTCTGCCCTGCTTTTTAACTCCTTATGTAACACATCACTGTCCCATGAAGCGGAGAATGCGAGGAGAAAAGAAGGGAGAGCGAAGCGAAGGGGGAGCGAGATGAAAAGGACTGTCAGGGAATGAAGGAGACCGAGAGGAGAGACGGCAAGAGAAGAGCGTTAGAGGGGAAGTGGGGGGGGGGGGGGGGGGAACAAAATCATCAATGAGACAGGCTGTTTCTGCTGGAGCGGCTCTCAGCACCCAGCCAGTCCGCCCTCACCCCCCCCCCCTCGCCTTCCCACCTCCCTCTCCAGTGAAGATGAGAAAGGAGATGAGAGCACTGAAGCTCTCCTGCTCTCTCACTCCTCTCCAGCACGCACTCTGGAAGACAGACACGCCTGTGCTTCACTCCATAGGACAGGATTAACAGCACAGAGCAACACAGCACTATGGCAGCATCTCGCCTGTGATCTGCCTGCCTGCCGGCTTCCCAGAGAAACAGCGACGGCTCGACCTCTGACCCCCTGGGAAACAGCTCCTGTGCGTGTGGGACATTTGACTTCTGACTCCTTGCGTGTGAGGACACCCTTACTTCATATTTGCGGAGATACAGGCTCTGCCGATGAGGACACCCTGACCACTGCTGCCCGTGGACCATGCTGGCTGAAGCCTAGCCCAGACGCGGTTCCTCACTCACCTTCGGCATGATTTTCTCCAGCACGATCGTCCTTGGGGCTACCCTGGGCACCTCTGCTGGGGCTCTTACCCTCTGCGTGCTTTCCCTGCTCTGCAAGCACTACAGGAAGTGCCACCTGGAGGGGCCGCAGGAGGATGACCCAGAGAAGGTCAAGCCCAGCGTGAAGCACTCTGCTGAGCAGGTAAGAACATAAGACTCATAACTTCTCAGAGGTGGGGAGACTGTGTGGAACAGCATAAGGTTTGCAGGATCGTCAGCCTAGATCAATATTGTAATGTAGCAGTGAGGAGTGAGGGAACTAAATAACCGCAGACTGACGAAAATAGACATTAAACTGGAATGATTCAAATCAGGAACAGGACGTTCCCATAAGAATTCTACTGTCTATTAGGCTTTTCAGCAGAACACGTCCATGACTGCTTTGTATAATTAGTGCTAGATGGAGAGTAAAAACATTCAGTTTGACCAGATAAGTGCTCGATGCACGATGTCCACACACTTTAAATAGTTATGAGTGGGGTGCAGGATAATCACACATAGTTTATAAGACAAGCTATTTGACTGGTTAGCTGTCGGATACAGAATGACCGCACACAGTTTGACTGATTAGCTATCGGATACAGAATGACCGCACACAGTTTGACTGGTTAGCTATCGGATACAGAATGACCGCACACAGTTTGACTGGTTAGCTATCGGATACAGAATGACCGCACACAGTTTGACTGATTAGCTATCGGATACAGAATGACCGCACACAGTTTGACTGGTTAACTGCCGGATATAGAATGACCGGCTTCCTAGAACTACACAGTTTCATTCATTGTCTTCTAATGAAGGAAATAAGGTTCTTTTTGCAATCCAAATGTAGACAAAATAAATATCTGTAAAATGTTATAATAATAACAATACAGCATATTAATTTCTATAACATATTTATAAAAACGGGGCGGCACAGTGGTGCGGTGATTAGCACTGTTGCCACACAACTCTGGGATCTGGGTTTGAGTCTCTGCCAGGGTTCCATGTGTGTGGAGTTTGCATGTTCTCCCCATGTCATCGTGGGGTTTCCTCCAGGCTCTCTGGTTTCCCCCCACAGTCCAAAAACATGCTGAGGCTAATTTTATGCTGAGTTACCCCTATGTGTGGGTATGTGTGCCCTGCGATGGGTTGGCACCCCATCCTGGGTTGTTCCCCGCCTTGCACCCGTACCTTCCAGGATAGGCTCCCGGTCCCTGCAACCCTGAACAGAATAAGCTGCTTCAGGAAGTGGATGGATATTTATAAAAACATTTATACAAGTTCTGTATCCTGTAGGTTTCACAATAAATGGAAAAAGTCAGTAGTTCAGTTGAAATTGATGACTGTTTAGTACATTATTTTGAGGATATTTCACCAGCCATTGTCTTGGGGCACTGCAGTCATTATTTTCAGTTTGAATAGGTATCCGCTCCCTGTACTAAGCATTCATACCTGCAGATTGCTGTGCAGGTAGATGTGAGTCATCTTAAAATGCAGGGGAACCTTTATGATTCAGAGGAAAACTGCTGGTGTGAAAGTCACGCAGCCCGGCGGGCCCACAGGAAGCTCGCCACCACGCCTGCATGCTGGCAGACTGGGAGGTGGGCTCTGCTATTAATAGACACGGAGGCTGAAGGAGACTCTGGATGTCACAAGCCCGGCTGACGAGATTCGCTGGAAAGCCACCGGCTTGCTACTGCAAGTCTGGCTCAAGTCCCAGTTTGGGGCAGAACTAACGAAGCGACAAACATCAAAGGAGGAAATCTCCTTCAGAGATTGATGAGGAGGCTCAAGAATCTACTCGCTCTTCCTACACCTGCAGATTTCTTTCACCTGCTACTGATGTGCCCACGCTGTGTTTACGTGAGGGGTAAGGATCTCTCACACAATAAATATATTGTTGCCTCTGAGTACTGAGATTCAAAACAGCTTCTTTTCACCAGGATAAAATGATCAGCATTATAAAACAACATAAATATGCATGAATTTATTACATTGTACAGTGCAGTGAAAAATGTCCACAGTGCAGTAAGAAGGTCATGCTATAACATAATAATACAATAATAATGATGTTTTATTGATCCCTTTGAGGAAATTCTCTTTTCTCTTTTATCCCAGTTAAACTAAGAAAAGAAAATCTAAAAGCGAGAATAACGATAAGAATATATGCCAACAATTTATGTTAACTACACCTTCATAAGGCCTTTATAGTGCATTTGTAGAACATACAACGTTCGTTCATAATGCATTTATAATGCATAATTCATTCAACCAAATATACAGATAGGCAGGGGGCATGAGTGAGCTGAGAAACAGGTAAAATCAAGTTTTTGTCAGCTTGGTGATGAAGCACTGGACAAGTATAGAAGGAGTATTGATACGTAAAAGGGTTTATGTGCACAGAAATCTGTGACAGGTGGTGAATGATACAGGGTCTCCTCTACTAAACTTACTGTTTTCTTTGGAGAAGCTGCTACCCACAGTATTACTCAAATCAATACATTTTCCCCATTTATATTATCGATTTTCCAACCACAGTATAGTCATAGGGGCTATTGTTATTGTTATTGTTATTGTTATTGTTGTTGTTGTTGTTGTTGTTATTGTTGTTGTTATTGTTGTTGTTATTGTTGTTGTTGTTGTTATTGTTGTTTTCCCTGTGACCCTGCACAAAACAAGCAGGTATAGAAAATAGATGGATGGATGGATGGATGGATAGATGGATGTTCATCATTGTTGTTTTGTTAATATTGTTATTAATATTATTATTGTTGTTGTGGCACAGCAGCAGTAGCGACATTAATTATTCTCAGTAGAAACATATCTTTTTTTCCCAGGCAAAACTCTAAAATGCATCAATCATATAAAACTTTAGTGCCATTGTCGATTACCAGTCAGCTCTGGAGTCACAATGATTGTGTCACTGAATTATTATTGAATTAATTAAAGGAATTTTCAGTTAATGTTAATGTTTCTAATCGGTATTCCCCACAGTTCATTTTTCTCATATGCATTTTAGCTGCTAATGTCTCTCTATTTGTACATAAAATAATAGTTTTATTTTATCTCATAAATTGTATTATCAGTAATGTCAGTCAGGATTCACGTAATGAGACAATCTCTGTTGATTCAGTGCAGTATATATAGAGAGATATAAATATTTAAGTGATCCATATCTGTGTCTTACTGGATGCCATAATATGTCATGTCAGTTACATTTACAGACTGTATGAAGTCGCAGAAGATAGGAGGAGCTGTGTGGAGCAGGGCAATGGCCAGTGGCAGGGGATAAAACTGTATCAGTGTTCATCAGCTGGGGACCCCAAGACGGTCTACGTTTTTTGGTCACTCCCAGCAGGGTGCAATAATGTAGACTGTCTGGCAGGATGCTGGGTGGGAGCAAAAACGTGGACTGTCTGGCGGTTCCTGAGAACTGGGTTAAGAAACACCGTGCTATAGCACCAAAGTTATATGCTATAGCCACTCTGCATGTTACAGTCTATGTATGTAGACAGGGTACTTCAGAATTATTCTTCAGACCCTCAGTAACTGCCACCCCCCTGCACATAAAACAGGTAGCCATGTATTTTACATCATTCAGCTCTGTAATCATCTTAGAGTTTAATGCTGAAGCCAGTTTAATGTAACTCTCTCCTGTCATTCTATTTCTATATTATATAAATAGATTGGATAGTGTTACTTATGTGTAATGAATCAGTCTAAAGATCAAGCCACACAGCAGATTCTTCACAAGGACAGCAAGGTCTTCCAATACGAAAACCACAATCTACAGTGGTTACTCTAAAGGGAAGGCTAGCGTCAGGGAATAGGCCAGATACACCAGGTTCCATGTCCAAATCGGCAATAAAACAGGGGCAATATACCATGCAAAAGTCAGAACATGACAGGCACCAAAAATCAGGAATAACACAGGTGCAGTAGAACAGCCACAATACATCACAGAGGCCAGAAAATGCTAAGAGTCTTTTATATGCTTCCAATTAGTAAAAGCTACCATCTGTGTTAACTATTCAGGGGAGGCAGAGCGTGGCTTGGGTGAGAATCACTGCAGGGAGGTCTGACTCAGGGCAGCTGTGACATTATGTGTGCTAATCCTGGAACCAGATTGATAACCCTGCATCCCCTTTCTTCCTTCTACAGTTTAGTATTGAGAAATCAACAGAACCCATCCAGCCTGAGACTCTCCTGAAATTTCCCAAGACCTACAAACCAAAGCCATCAGTGACCTCTCCCAAGGTCATCGGCCTTCCCTCTTATGCCTTAGAGACAACAGACGAGCCCTTGGCAGATAAAGCTGCCAGTCTTCAGCCGGAGCACGGTATCCTAGCAACTGAGGGAACGGAGGAGGTCCCCGTCATCCCTAGGCAAGGTAAGCCAGGTGAACTACAGCAGAGAACCTGGAAAAAAAAAATCTAACAAAAAGTGATCATTAGTTTTGTGTTGTGTGTCTTTCACTGTGTTTTCATTAGGTCTGGGATACTTTACAGTACTGTTGGCGAATTGTAAGATTTTCTGACTGCAGGGTCCTCCCTAATTGGCTAGTTGTCAACAGAGGTACATTAAGATCTCCGGAGACCCCTTGGTTATTTGAGTTGTCAACTGTGCACCTATAGTCAGTGTTGGGTATTCCATGTCCAGAAGCTACAAATCCAAACCAAGATTTTGTTTCTACCAACCAGTTGAGTATAAATAGTCACAGAGTACTCAACTGGTTGGTAGAAACAAAATCTTGGTTTGGATTTGTAGCTCCAGGACCTGAAATGCCCAACAGTGCCTACAATGTTCTGCGCAAAAGTCCCTGAGTTTCAACCTGGGTTAGCCCGTGAATTAAAGCACCCCTGAAAGTTATGAGCAATTAAAAATTAACTGAAATATCTGTATATTTCTAGGGTCAGGACTTGACTTGCAGATGATTTTGTACAGAAAATGATATGTACAGAAAACACTCTTAAAACATTTGCTGTCCCAATATCATGCTGTTTGAGTCTATAATAAATTCATTAATAAGGGCCAGAAGATTTAGACGAATATTTAGGCTGAATGATTTTATGTTTTTTTTGAGTATTTGAATCTCAGACACAAAAGAACTTTTAATGGTTTGAGATGAATGAAAGGTAACCCTTCTGTACTGTAATGACGCAGCTGAATGTTACTCCTACACTTTGCTGTGAGCTTAGAACTGCAGTGAAGCCCTCAAGGTGCAACTAAGGGAATACTTCAACTGCATGTGAATGTCATCCTCAGACAATGGTGTTCGTCTTTCAGGTTGCACCAATGACAACACTGTCGCTGCCGAACCAAAGAACAGCATGAGAACAAGCAGCTCCATCATCTATCCGAAGCTGCATTTCTCCCTCAGATATCACAGCCAGAAGAAGGAGCTGCACGTCATTGTGATAGAAGGTACAGAAATCCAATCTTCCATTATCCTGCAAATAATATACTGTCAGCAGTTTTGCCTGGGTTCAATAGACAGAATTCCCATGTCAGTTAGACGTGTAAATAACAATGTCAATTTAAAGCTGATGACAATAGCTAGATACACACACAGGCAAAAACTACAGAAACCATTATTGGAAAAATTACTGACATCTCAGTTTTATGTATGAATGTAGACACAGAGTGTAGAGGTGAGTCAATACGAAGAAGCTATAAGGGGCATTTTGATTATTATCATTTTCACTGCAGTCCCTTCTACTTGGTGGTTACCACGATACGTCTGTTTGCTCTTGTTTTAATTAAATTTATTTTTAAATGCATTCCAGTGTTATGTAAATGAATTAAGTAGTTCAGTTAGTTCACACCCCACGAAACAGTTGCTGTATAATTCATTGTAGTAACTGTTGTATTAAATATTTTAATGAAATACCTAGCCTTATATAAGTTTCCATGTACAAAACGTACAGGGTTCCTAAGTGAATTATAGAAACCTGCAATGTATAATACTGCTATAGCTAAATAGATCTGGATCCAATTGAATGGCTTCCCTGCCAGGGCATAATCCATAAATATAGTGTACATGGTCCATCTTATTATTTTTTTGGCACTGTCTGTTATTCATTCTGTTACTAAAAGTATCTTTGGACGGAACTTTAAAAAGTCTGTTATTGTAGCCTTTTAGTATAATAGAGGAACCGTAAAAGGCTTATGGGATAGATTATGGGATGAAACAAACCCCAAGGTCACTGATAAAAAGTGCAGAAAGTGCTGAGTAGCTGGACCAGGAAACCTGTTCTAAGGTCCATGTAGAGGGTCCCTCTAGTCTAGATTTTTGCATCCCTGGTTTAAGAAAGGCTGAAACCCTCGTCCCAGAACACGCTCAGAGCGGGCACCTCTCGTCCCCCAGCGGAGCACGTGACTGCGGAGGCCGGCTGCGAGGGCTACGTCTCGGGTCTGCTGACCACCACCAGGACCCGAAAGGAGGCCCAGACCTCCATGCGTCGCCTGGCAACCACCATGCGTTGGCAGGAGGGTCTGATGTTCCCCCTGCCGGAGGGCACCCAGGGGGAGGGCGAGGTGGCCTTGTCCCTCCATAGCTGGGACCGCTTCTCCCACCACGTCATCCTGGGCACCATGCGCTTCAAGCTGGCAGACATAAGCATGATGTGCAACGCCGACTGCTGGGTCGATCTACAGCCTCCCAAGCAGGTACTGGCGAGTGTACCAACCTGACATCACGCTTTCCCGGCTCAAACCACTATTTACAGTAAGGTTATTCTGAACCCCTGATGGGTATGAATGGTACGACCCTTACAAAGCCACATCCTAGCAGCTCATAAAGACTATAGGCAGGGATGCAATAAGGGCATGAACACCCTGGCAGATGTAGGGGGCCCAGCACTTTGCGGGGGTCGACTTGCCACCAGTAAATGCAATGTCCCATATTGATCCAACATGAGACATGATATGTCCCCCCCACCCCACCCCCAGGCATGGCATCACATATTTATAATTTAGCCACTTCTCTTATATTGACATGGTTTATGTCTTCATGAAAAAAGTTTGTTTTATTTCTTTAGATTCCTGCCATATAAGATATAAGAATGGAAATGGCCGGTTATATATACACCACATGGACAAAAGTATAGGGACACACCTCATAATCACTGAAGTCAGGTATTTCATTCAGACCCATTGCCACAGGTGTATAAAATCAAGCACCTGGCCATGCAGTCAGGGTTACAAACATTTGTGAAAGAAGGGGTCGTTCTGAAAAGCTCAGTGAATTCAAGTGTGGTGCTGTCACAGGATGCCACCTTTGCAGTAAGTCAGTTTGTGAAAATTCTTCCCTGCTAGATATTCAACAGTCAACTGTAAATAGTATTTTTACACAGTGGAAGCGTTTAGGAACAACAGAGTTTCAAACCACATAAACAGAACAGGTTCTGCGAATGCTGAGGTGCGTAAAACTGCAGAGTTCCAACCTTCCTCTGGCATTAACCCCAGTGCAAAAACTGTACCAGAAGCTTCATGGAATGGGCTTCCATTGTCGAGCAGCTGCATGCAAGCCTGACATCACCAAGCGCAATACCAAGCGTCGGGTGCAGTGGTGTGAAGCACGCCGCCACTGGAGCAGTGGAAACGTGTTCTGTGGAGTGACACATCACACTTCACTGGCAGTCAGATGGATGAGTCTGGGTTTGGCAGATGCCAGGAGAACGTTACCTGCCTGACTGCATTGTGCCAACTCTAAAGTTTGGTGGAGGGATAATGGTATGGGGTTGTTTTTCAGGGGCTGGGTTAGGCCCCTTAGTTCCAGTGAAGGGAACTCTTAATGCCAAGACAGTATACCAAGACATTTTGGACAATTCCATGCTTCCACCATTGTGGGAACAGTTTGGGGAAGACCTTATTCTGTTCAAACATGACTGTGCCCCAGTGCACAAACAAAGATTCATAAGGACATGGCTGCGTGAATTTGGATTGGAAGAACTTTATTGGCCCACACAGAGCCCTGATCTCAACCCCGAACAGCTTTGGGATGAACAAGAACAGAGATTGCGAGCCAGACCTTCACATCCAACATAAGTGCCTGACCTCACAAATGCTCTTCTGGATGAATGAGCAAAAATTCCCACAGACATACTCCATAATCTTATGGAAAGCCTTCCCAGAGAATGGAAGCTGTTATAGTTGCAAAGGGGGACCAACTCCATATTGATGCCTGTGGATTTAGAATGGGATGTCATAAAAATTCCTGTGCGGGCAACGGCCAGGTATCCCAATACTTCTGTCTATCTAGTGTAGTGTTTAGAGTTTAAAAAAATAGTCTTGCCAAAAAAACAAGTTACGTTCAGATTTAAAATAAGAACAGGCCTGATGGAAACACGTTTCAGGAATTCCAGCCAGGGCTGACAGAATTATACTTTCATCCGCTGTTAACCAGTTTAAATGTATAGTCAAATTACACTGCACAGCCATTGTTAAGGAATTGGAATATGAGTTGCGAGGTCAGGATCGATCCAGATTAAAAGGAACAGGGATTTGATAGCAGATAATATTAGAACATAACCCCATTGTGTCCCACAAATGCCGTGGTGATAATCCATATTAATTAATGCAGACAAACGCAGCACCACACTTGAGTGGTGATTTAAATCAGGCCCTCTCTGAAATTTCCTGCCTGTGAGATGGGTCTGGTGCCGCAGAGCACAAGATTGGATCTGCGTCATCGTGAACCCCAGGGGAATTCTTACGGACGTGGAGAAAATCGCCGAGACTCACCAGGAATTGGAAGATAGCCGTAGGCTGGAGGGGAGAGTGTGGGGGAGGATGATGTCATCAGAGTTGGGTGGGATGATAAATAAAACGTAAGAGCGCGGAGACAAACAGGACTGCGAGTCGGTGAATGGGGGGAGAGCTCGTTTGAACTGTGACGCACATTCTGGTCTGCTCCTGCAGAAACAGGAATGCATCATTTATTATCCAGCGCCGAGAGGAAGAAAGCTCTGAGCTCTCCTCAAACCACAGCAGCCTTGATCAAAGTATAGAAGTACGACAAAAACGTACGTGCTTTCGCAACAGACGTAAGCAAGACGAGATAACTTAGAAAGATCTTAGAGCTTCAGTCAGAGACTTGACGATTGCCACATTTTTCAAAACGTAATAAAAAAAATCACATAAATATCTACTAATGTTTCCTTTTTAATTGAGCATATAATGAATGTTAAGTATACAGGTTAAGTACAGGAATACATCCATAAAAACTGTCAGAGAAATCTGTATGGTTTACTTAGTAGGTTTGGAGAGTATTATTCATCTGAAAGGCTTCCTCGGCATTGATATATCCTCCCTATGTGATCATTATTTCATTCATGATGAAAGTGTATTTTAAAATTCCAGAACTAAAGTATTCATAGTGGCATCTGCAGCCCGAGCGAGCTGCAGCAGAGATGACGCTGATCAATATGCAAATGTGAGAAACGGACAGCGGCTTTACAGGAGATTATGCTGCACGTTGCTTCGTCTTTCCTTGTAAGGAGTGACCTCATCTTTCTGTCTGTCTTCTGACAAATTCGGATGGGCTGTCTGTGCATAAATTAGCTGGCTCAGTTATTTATCCCCTGTATAAATAGATAATAGAGCATTCTTACAATTATACTTCATGTTTTAGTAGCTTCAAACTCTGCTACCTATGACAGCCTGTTATTTCAGTAATAAGCATGGAGTTTATAATCTCTTAATGAGGTACCGCACTATAACATTTGCATCTAAAGCTGGGAATTACTGAGGACTGCTTTTATTATGATTATTATAACCTTGAGTAAATTACTCAGCCTTCACTTTCAAGGGGATTGCATAGTGTCCCTTTTTGCCGCAGTGAATGCAACCTGGTCTTTTATCCTTCCCGTTTTTTTTAAAGTTCAAACGGAAACGAGTGCTACCATCACTAGGCTCCTCTAACACTGCCAGGGAATAATATGCACAAATCCTAAGTAGATTAAAGTATTTCTCAAAGGAAGCATTTAACTTGCTGTGCTAGTGTTGTAATATAATACAACACCACGGAGTTTATCTATGCCAATAAATATGCTGGGTAATTAATTTTTTGTCAGTGCTCAGTGGGTTAGACTGCTGTGCTTGTGATTGAAAAGTCACCAGTTGAACACAGAAGGTCGGCAGAGTAATTTCGCTGTTGAGCCCCAGAGCAATACCCTTAAGCACCCCCCCCCCTCCCCCATTGCTGCAAGGGCTGGCTGACCCTGCAATCTGTATATGAGGAGTTCAAAATGTATAGCATGTGCTAAGTAAATAAGATGTAAAACAGAACCTGGCAGAGTCAGGCGTCGTAAAGTCTCCCCTGGTTTCCCCCGCAGGTTAATTGGAGTTACCAAATTGCCTGTAGGTGTGCATATGTCAGTGAATGGTGTGTGAGTATGCACCACGATGAGCTGGCGCCCCGTCCTGGGTTGTTCCTTGCCTTGCGCCCGTAGCCTCTGGGATAGGCTCCAGACCTCCCGCAACCCTGAACAGAACAAGCGGTTACAGAAAATGGATGGATGGATGGATCCTTGGTTTCAATGTGTCGCCTTCTGGTGCAATGGTGAGTAATTCTTTAATCTGCAGGACATGAATGCATCTGCTGGGGAGATCCTGCTGTCCATCAGTTACCTGCCGGCAGCCAACCGCTTGGGCGTGGTGGTCATGAAGGCTCGCGGGCTGCAGAACCTTCGGCTGAAGGACTCCATTGGTTTGTCTCATCTTATGTTTTACTTACTCTTACCAGGTGACATGAGCGGTGGAGTGTGTGGATCAGTGGTCCCTGTGACCAGAAGGTTGCTGGTTCAGATCCCAGGGTTGGGACCCTGTGCAAGACCGTTAACCTCCAAATGCCTCAGGGACTGACTGATCCTGCTTCTCAATTGTGTGTCACTTGCAATAAAAGCATCTGATAAATAAAATGGAGATAATGTAACCTACAGTCATGGGCGTAAATTACGGGGGGGGGGGTTGTAATCCCCCCCCAATAATCAGAACCAGCCAATACAGCCCCCTGGAGCCCCTTAAATGGGAGGGGACCTCAAACCCCCCAGTGCTCAACATAAAGTTATGCCCTTGCCTACAGTACTGTGCAAAAGTCTTCGGCAGTCAAAGAAAATTATGTTTAAATGACCTTCATGTTGGTTTAAAAAGTCTTTCAAAGTGTGTCAGCTTAGCCCAGTGGTTCTTAACCTGGGTTCGATCGAGGCCCAGGGGTTCGGTGAGTCAGTCTCGCGGGTTCGGCGGAGGTCTTTCTGAGGTTATTCGAAATAAAGGTGAACATTTTTTCTCAAAATTGATATTATTTTTTCCCCCACTGTAATACCTATGTTTTGAATTTGAAAAAATCACATTTTATTTTTCCAATTAAGAAGGGTTCGGTGAACGCGCATATGAAACTGGTGGAGTTAGTACCTCCAACAAGGTTAAGAACCACTGGCTGAGCCATTTCATTTAGGACATGCAACAAGCATCCAATACACCCATGTATTTTTTGACATCCACTAGCGTACCATGTTTCGCTAACCAGTAAATCACAGCAGAAATTCTCATTAGTTTTAATTGTTACTATTAATTAGATATTGAGTTAGTTATTTCTGTCACTGCCTAAGACTTTTGCACAGTATTGTACATTATATGAAAGTTTCTAAATATATTAGAACTGCAGTGCCAGGTGTGGCAATAATGCAGAACTAGTCCTTGCATGGTGTTCAGGGTCAGCTGATTTTGAACCAGACAAAGGTTGCCTGAAATCTGTGGGCTGCACTCTGACCTTCGTGCTGCATGTCACTGGCAGACCTCTCCGTGAAGCTGGCGCTGAGGCACCAGGCCACGAAGCTGAAAAAGAAGCAGACGCGGCACGTAAAGCACAAGATGAACCCGGTGTGGAACGAGATGATGATGCTGGAGGTGCCCCGCGAGCTGCTGGCCAAGTCCAGCCTGGAGCTGGAGGTGCTGAACCTGGGCGGCGACGGCAAGCTGGACCTTCTGGGCAAGTGCCAGCTGGGCCTGCAGTCCTCGGGGGTGGGGCTGCAGCACTGGCAGCAGATGCTGGATAACCCACGCAAGCAGATCGCAATGTGGCACCCCCTCAGCATATGAGCGACGGACACCTGCTTTAAAGGGCCAGCACAGTGTAGCAGATCCCACTGGCTAGTCAAAAGCAACACCAGAATCACCAGGATTGTAAAATTAATGTGAATCACTGTCTTTCAGACCCCTAAATGAAACATAATAATGCCGCACACCAATGGTCAGTCCCAAACCATAAAATGACACCCACTGGCTAGTCAACCAGCAGAATCACCAGGATTGAAAAATGTAAAATGACAATCTCCAACACCTCTAAATCAAACATGATGATGCTGTGCACCAAATGTCAGTCCCAAACCCTGAATGACACCCACAGAATACATATTTTAGGTTACACTCATCCTGATGGAGCAGGAGACAATGTGCAGTGAGCGGAGTGAGCTGGTCTTATCTAACGCATATGACGCGTGGAGAGTGACACAGCCTAGAGTCACGCTGTCCCCAGAGCTTTAGCAAAGCCTATGTCACAGAAGATTGCTATAACCAGGACTCACATTTCCTTCTTGACGCATTTCCTCTATAAATATGAGTCCTTCATTACCAAGTTCATGGATAATTATTGAACTGCAGAATTGAAGTAGGCACATTAGATCAATAACAATATTGCGGATGTGTGTAGCGGTAATTAAATGTTGACACAGATACAAAAACTTGCTCGTTTAAATGTAGGATTGTTCGATTCCTGCCCTGGGTTTGTATGTTCTTGGAGTATTTGTCTGGGTGTCTTTGAAGTACTCCTGTCTTTTCCCGTGATGCAGATGTGTGTGGTAGTTGAATTGGTGTCTCTAAATTGCCCTTAGTGTGTGGTTGTATACATATCTGTGTGTGCTCTCTGATGGACTGGTATTCCGCCCATGGTGTCCTCTGCCCTATGCTTCCTGGTAGATTCCGGATAGACAGATGGTGCTCTACACATACGTATCCTGGAAAAAAAAAAAAAATGTCAGTGGAAGGGTGGGGTGGTAAGGAAAGAGAATGGCGAAAGTTCATCACTACCACTCTACAATTATAATGGACAAATGAATTATTTAAGATATTCAGTATAGCAGTGCAATACTATTTTAATCTATCATTAATGGAAATACATCTTACAGTTCTGCATATATTTCATTGTTCACACATATAAGCAAGGAGCACCGATACTTTATAACTATTCCCTAATAAAGCAATTTGTCATACACTTCTGCCGATGATCAAAAATAGTGGTACTATTCACTCACGCTAATAATTCTGTTGTTTGAGTAAGGTACCAGTAGCTGGATCCATAGAGAAAATGATTCTGGAAGCTCATTTGTCCTTTAATTATATGTGCTCCACCAATACACAGACAGCAACCAAAAGATGTCCTCCCATTCAGTTTTTGCTGAAGAAACATGTATTCACCTCAAGGGTGTTAGGTTTGGTTTCAACATTGTTAAGGACCAAATCAGTTGCAAAGCCCCCATCCCCCTAAATACACACAGTACTCCTCATGTTGGTAGGGACACGTCTCTCCCATCCTTATCCAAATCTGTTCCCTTGATGGACCTGTTTCATTGTCAGAAATCCACTTCCCCCTCTATCCTCCTGAGACCCAAGGAAAAAAGTGTCCTTCAATTTTAGATTATTTGTCTTTGGAGGAAACAAGACATCTTACAATGTAGATTTTTTCAAATTTATTTGTATTTTTAATTTCACAGCATGTCCTCTTTAGTGTACAACAGGAATAAATACATTTCCCAACATCAGTGAAAAGATAGATGCAAAAATAAAATGTCCACTACAATGGACATAAATGAATGGGTCGGGTCTCAGGAGGATATAGTAACCTTTCATGACCCCTTTGTTTTTACTGTGGAAATGCCTTACAAGTCATGTGTATGGCCTATTATCATCTGTGGATTGGTGCAGTACCTGACCATATCAGATAGGACGTAATTAATGTTGACATAGACCAATAAAGAACTGATAAAGGTAACATGCATGCAATAAAAAAGTTACACCTTGTTTTTGTAACAGTGAGGAATTGTCAGTGAAGAAATACAGGTAACAGCAATAGGTGTGTTTACATTGCCTTCTTGGTAGGTGCCTGCACTCCAATGAGAGATGAGTTTTACCTGTTTTACACTTATCACACAAATTTCAGGTACAATGAGAGGCAGCTCTTGCAAAAGTACATCTTTAGAACTGCCTGTAATAAGTTCTTATTCAATAAGAATCAACCTTCTCACCACTCAAGAAGTTTCAATAAAATGAGAAGTAAAATGCCTTCCATTCATATATTTACTGAATGTACTGAAATGATTGTGAAAACAGTAAAGTGATGTCACAAGACAACTGCCTGCCAATGGTATCTAAAGATATCCCTGCATTCAATGTGAATTCATTTTATGCTAATTTCAACCTATTATTCGAGTGATGAATAACAGTGAGTAATACTTCCCAGAGGAAGGACATACAGGAGACACAACAATCATAAAATAGTAAAAATCAAAATAAATGTCTGTGATTTTTCCTGCATCTCCAATAATCATTATCTGAATGGTATTGGGTTCTATTGTGAATTTACCATGTAATAAATGTACATATCGAAAAATGACAATTGACTGCCTATGCTTTTTATTTATTTGACTTACCCTAGTCATTTTGTAAAGTAAGAAGAGAAAAAAATTGGCTGTACTGTTTATTTTGGATCAAGTGTCTTTTTGGTTAAGATGTTAATAGATATTTGTCATCGTCCCAGAATAATCTTCACGCTTATTTTTTATGGTAGATTCTCTGTCACACACACACTCAAAAGAACTGCATTGTAGTGTCCCACCCCACCTCAGTCCTACTTAAAACTATCTAACATACTGATCAAAGACATGGCAGCAAAATGCTACAGATACCAAATTACTAGAAATATTGTGTATGTACCCAGTAACTTAGACCGACCTTCATCCAGATGGATAGCTTCACTATTATTATGTACTGTGATGAGTACATGAGTCATTTTAACAAAGAAGACAACAGCTCTTTCAAAAATAGAAGCTCCACTCTTTAGTGACAGCCAATAATGGCCTAAAACTTGCACTCGCATACTCATGGAAGACAACAATTTACACAACACTTGCACTCACAGTCACATGGTTACTCGTTAACAAAACACATGCATCCCGCAGCAAACATTACATGGTTATGACATTTATCATTTACAACAAAAATGCATGAATACACATTTAATTTACACTGTTTACACGTACTGTACCCATGGTGTGGTGCAAGGCATGTTGGTGCAGGAATAATTAACCCAGCTGACAGGCCCTGGAGTGTTCCTTATATATGGAAACCAAGATGTATGTGATGGTGTGTGTACTGCTGCAGTGAAGCGATGATTAATTTATACAGGCCCACAATGCATTTAGAGAGAGTTGGAGAGCATAACAAGGGCTTTAAGTGCAGTAGCCAATTAAACCAAGGTTCTATATGACAACAGTAACAGTGAATATTCTTCTCAGTACTGTGACGTGCCATATCGACCCTGCTCAGCATTAATGTCTCTGGAAAGCAAGTCAAAACAAATCGAATAAGAAATCTCTCAAGAATTCATAACAGAAGACAATTTGAATAACAAAATCATATGTATTTATACAACACATCTTCCTGGGCTAAAACACCACAGGCCAATTATGCATGGGTGTAATTCTGTTAAAACAGTCATGTATTCCCATATAGATGACATTACTGATGCTCAGTTCACAACGCTTGTCAACACATTATAATAACTAATTAACAATTTTGTAAAGCTTTGTGTAAGAACGTGAAGAAACTTAAAGCGCAAGATAGGACAGAAATTACAAACTGCTTCTGTGTGACACTTAGACGTGTTTCAACCTAATGAAGAAGTTTCACTTTAAATGTTAATTAGTATGACTGCAGGGTTGGCAAACCAAGCTTTACTTAAAGGGCAAACCTGCTGAGCTGTGTGGCCTTTTAAGCAGTGGGGTATCTCTAAAAATGTGCATATGCATACATCACGGTGAAAGATGTAGCACAAGCTGAGATCCACAGTCTGCTTACTTCCTGATGAGTTATAGATAGAGTGTTACATTAAAAAGTTAGGGAAATTTTCAGAACAAAGTCACATTTGCTGCATATTTAACTTTTATTTTCTTGCGGCTGGAAATTCTGAAGACAAATGAAAGTTTTTGAGAAACATGAGTAAGTCATTATAGGTATTTGTATATGATCTTTACATATCAATGTCCCATGTTATAGACAGAGGTGCCCCAAACCACAGCTGACTCTTCTCGATTCAAAGAAGCAGAAGCTCTCCTTTGAGGCCCTTCCAGATCTCTGAACTCCTCACCTTGTCACGGAGAGTGAATCCAGCAACCCTGTGGAGAAGTTTCATTTCAACCGCTTGTACTTATGACCTTGTTCTTCCAGTCATTAATCACCGCTCATGATCATCCGTGAGGAAAAGGGTGTAGATTGGCCGTTAATCACAAGCCTCATCTGACAATTTAACTCCCGCTTCACCGCCACAAACCTCCAGAGCCCATAAAAAAGTCATCACTGAACCAATCTCCCCGTCAATCTGAAATTCCCTTTTTATAGCTTCGGATTTGGAGGTGCTGATTCTTATGCCTGCAGCTTCACACTTCTTATGCAATCGTCCATATCACTCATGCTGGACGTACTGCTCAGAAGCAGCACATCATCCTCAAATACCCTCCCATACTAGATATCTGGTGAAAAAAGGTCACAAACCGCAGTGCAAAGACACGCCCTTACCAAAGATTAAAACCAACTACAAACGCTATCAATTTTATGCCAGTATGCGCAGACACAATTCTTACTATATTCACATAGGGCTGAAAGACCACGGACTAATTGCCCCAAAGGCCCGGCAGCACCTGAGCCACGCTTTCCAAACCGGGGGTATGTACCTGGGTAGAGCCACAAGCCCAGCCAATAGCTGATTGGCCCGCAGAATGCCCCCTCCCCTTGCCTAATGATAAGGGGGGCCCACTGTATGAATTATGGCCCCTTGTTTCTCCCCATCCTAAAAAACAAAATCATAGAATTACCTTGATCCAAACCATTTTTGGGGCTACAAAACGGTCTCTTCCCATAGCCTCTCCAAACCAGTCCTTCCTACTCATGTTTGCTATCCAAATAGCACAGTACCTGAGTCCCACCTTTCACCTTGAGGCAGGTGAGGCCACAAGATGGCCCCATGCAGTTATTTTAGACTAAGCCCCACTAGGATATGTGGGTGACATGGCTTCCAGGTGTATATTGGCCAATACCATCCCCAGGCCTATCACCATTGGTAGGTTCCAATATCCAGATTGTGGGAAGGGTACACTGGCTCTCCTTAGTACCTTTCATACGGGGTTCTCCTCAGATCATAGCAACCACCCACAGATCTTTTCACAAAGGAAGTTCCTGGCAGAAGTTCAAGCTAAAGAAGTATAAGTACACAAAACCCCTCCACCACGCTCTGAGGTCACAATCATCAGTTTTTTGTTTACGATACACTTTCCATTATGCCCAAAGTATTACATCTTGCACTGGGGATATAAAACAACATCACTTTCATACACCAAGGTAGGTGCAGCTTTGAGGACATTGGAAAAAGATTCTTCTGCATTAGAAAACATCTGCTGTTTTTCTGCAAGGCATGATAAGGTGGGCTTATGAACAGATTCAGTGAAGAGAACTGTAACTCTAAGCAACGTTGGCTTGAATTTATAGTTGGGGGACAACTGCTGCCTTTGTGATTACATCACACCCATTTCAGACCACTCCAGAGATCCTTATCGGCGTTAGACCAGTTTAATGGAAAACATTAGTAAAGGACAAATTTGTTGTTGTATGGCTTGGACAATCTGAATCACTCGCAACAACGATTAAATTAGTATCAGACATGAAGCAATCAGTTTATTTGAACAGAGCTGTCACAAATAAACAGTTTGAAAGCTCTAGTTCCATTATACAATAAGTATGGATCTCAGTGTCTATGTCATTTCTTAGTGT